ATGATAGAACACACAAGGACGTTTGTGCAGCAGCACTACTCCATCGCCAACGGTTACTCGCACAATGCCGATGTGGTGTATGGCGATACCGACTCAGTGATGGTCATGTTTGGCGTTGACACTGTAGAAGAGGCCATGCGCATGGGCAGGCAGGCAGCAGAGGAGATCTCTGATACCTTTCCTAAGGTGAGAGAGCACGATTTTGCATAGCTGTTGCATTGGCAGGTGGTGTATGTCGACGCCAGCACAGTGATGGTGATGTTTGGCGAGTTTCGAGACGTCTCAATGCCGATGTGGTGTATGGTGACACGACTCGGTGATGGTGATGTTTGGCGTGGACACTGTTGAGGAGGCCATGCGCATGGGCAGGCAGGCGGCTGAGGGGATCTCAGACACATTTCCCAAGGTATTTCCCCCGGCTCCTCAGTGTGTATTAGGCCATGCGCATGGGCAGGCAGGCCGCAGAGGAGATCTCTGATACCTTTTCTCCTCTGCGGGTGGAAAGCCCTTTCTTGCTGGATCATTGAGTCTTCTCTTCTGTTCCATCTTTCAATCATTAACCCCCCGCAATGGTCAATTTCCCACACGTCTCTTTTTTTCTTCTTCTTCTTTTCTTGTTTTCCTGCCTGCGTGGTCTTGCCTCTCAGCCAATCAGGCTGGAGTTTGAGAAGGTGTATTTCCCGTACCTGCTGATCAACAAGAAGCGCTACGCCGGGCTGTACTGGTCCAACTCCAAGGCCTTTGATAAGATGGACACCAAAGGTGCGATGAAAAAGTGTAACTATAGAGTTGTGATTATAGCACTTACAAAAAGCGCTGCGCTGGGCTGGGCTGTACTGGTCCAGCTCAAAGGCCTTTGATAAGATGGACACCAAAGGTACGGACCGTGCATGAGGTGTGCCAACGGCACAGGTGTGGCAAGATGGTCAGCAAAGCCTAAGGTACCTGCTGATCAACAAGAAGCGCTACGCTGGGCTGTGCTGGTCCAACTCAAAGGCCTTTGATAAGATGGACACCAAAGGTACGGACCGTGCATGAGGTGTGCCAGCAAAGATAGAAGGGCGCTTGACTGTGTTCGACTGAAGCCAAGCTCACAAGGATCGTTGAACTCATGGTGGCCAGTCCGCTCATCGTCTCTAATTCGTGTTGCATTGCAATATTCTTAGGCATTCTTAGAAAGAATTTTAGGCATGCTCATTGCATCCTATTCTTAGGCATTTTTAGCACAGTAGAAAGAAGTGACTTTTGAGTCGACTCAAAAGTCACCTCGTGTTGCATTGCAATATTCTTAGGCGTTTTCAGCACAGTAGAAAGAAGTGCTGTGCCTCAGCTGTTAAATCAATCTCTTCTCATCGTCCCCTCCTCTCACCTCCTCGTCTCTCTCCTCCCGCCCTGTGGCCCTCGCAGGTATTATGGAAATCACTTTTGAGAATTCCTCCCGCCCTCAAAAGTGATCTCCTCCCGCCCTGTGGCCCCCGCAGGTATTGAGACGGTTCGAAGAGACAACTGCCTGCTGGTCCGACAGGTGGTGGACGAGTGCTTGCGGCGCATCCTAATGGAGCGAGACATTCCTGGGGCCGTGGCATATGTCAAGTCTGTCATCTCGGATCTCCTTATGAACAAGCTCGACCTCTCCCTGCTGGTTATCACCAAGGCGCTAACCAAGGGAGGTGACGACTACGCAGTCAAGGCGGCCCACGTGCAGCTGGCAGAGAGAATGCGCAAGGTAAGGTCTTGCTGGAGTCTCTAAGGTTGTGACATGTTTTTAGGCGACTCAAAGATTGCAAAAAGGCCTTAATTATCTGACACTCATGGAGATCAATCAAGCCATTGATGATGGTCGAAGTCATGACTCGAATGGGGTTGTCCTTCGTTGCTCATCTTTGCTGCGCTTCCCCAATTTGCCTCTCCATCCATTATCAACTGCTCATTCTTTTGTGAGATTCACCCTCCCTTACCACGCATTTCCACCCCTTTCCACCCTCCACATGTTTTTATATCTTCCCTCTCTCTCTCTCTCCCAGCGTGACTCCGCCACAGCGCCTGGCATCGGGGATCGAGTGGCCTATGTCATCTGCAAGGCTCCCAAGGGCAGCAAGGTGAGCTCGTTGCGACATGCATGCATGCACGCTTTTGAGAATTCTCAAAAGCGACTCAGATTGAGCTCGTTGCACGTGTATGCATGCACGCACGTGAGGTGAGATTCCAGTCTTCCTCTCTCATGGGGACGAGCACCAACCCACTCATGCATGATTCTGCCACAGCGCCAGGCATCGGGGATCGAGTGGCCTATGTCATCTGCAAGGCTCCTAAGGGCAGCAAAAGGTGAGCTCGTTGCGACATGCATTTGAAAGCGCGTAGACTCCAGAGGAAGCTTCAGGACCCCATTCACATGCTGCAGAACGAAAGACCGGAAAGCAGAACGGGTGGATGGATTGGTGTTGGTGGCGTGCTTCTTCAAGTTGCAGCCTTCAACCAGCGTCCTTTTTCCACCCATCCCTTGTCTTGTCTCGTCCCGTGATCAGGCGTACGAGAAAGTCAGAGGATCCGATACATGTGTTGGAGAACAACATACGTGGAGGGGCATTTGCTCTGAGGAAGTTTCAAGTTTCAACCTGTGTCGTCCTTTGTGTCATCTCTTATTTCATCCCCTACCATCAGGCGTATGAGAAGTCAGAGGACCCGATACATGTGTTGGAGAACAACATTCCCATCGACCCGCACTATTACCTGGAGAACCAACTCAGCAAGGTGAGCGTGCGGTGCTGATCGTGCAATGCTGATCGTGCAATGAGCAGCTCACAGCAAGGAGCAAACAACATTCACATCGACCCGCACTATTACCTGGAGAACCAACTCAGAACCAACTCAGCAAGGTGAGCGTGCGGTGCTGAGCGTGCAATGAGCAGCTCACAACAAGGAGCAAACAACATCCCCATCGACCCGCATCACTACCTCGAGAACCAACTCAGCAAGGTGAGGGTGAGGTGCTGATGTTGGTGCATTAAGCAAGCTTACATTAACGAGCGAACAGCATTCCCATCGACCCTGAAACAACCAGACCCCAAGCCCTATAAACCCCTCCATTTCAGCCTCTCCTGCGGATATTCGAGCCCATTCTGAAGAACGCGAGCAAGGAGTTGCTGAGTGGCGCGCACACGCGAGCAGTCTCCATATCCACGCCCGCGACAGGTGGCATCATGCGATTCGCCAAAGTCCGGCTGTCCTGCCTCGGCTGCAAGACGCCTCTCAGGTAACCCAACTGCTCTGGTTCAATGTGTTTTCGAACAACAAAATGTAATGATTGAAGGTAGAACACTGCTGCTGGCCCTTGCTTGTTTGGTCCATGAAATCTCTGAAAACAGCTGTACATAAGGACAGTCTGAATAGTCTCTGACCTTTGGTGTGTATAAACGATGCGCTGATTTCTACCATCTTATCTTCTCCTTCTATCGTCCTTTACATTCTCTCTGTTCACTCTCCTGACAGTGGAAACTCCCAGACGCTGTGTGTGCACTGTATGGATCGAGAGGGCGAGATCTACCAACGAATAACAACCAATAGTGAGATGTCAATCCTTTATTCCAAACGTTTGCGCCAAGCTGATTTTAGAGAAGCTTCATAAACCAGCTTGGCAATACCTCAATCCTGCTTGCTGTTGGTAATTCAGTGCGGGAGTGTGAAGGGCAGTTGGGAAGGCAATTGGTGGAGCAGTAGAGTGCCAGTGGTGGAAGGCAATTGTCTCATATCCAGCAAGGTCATGCGAGTCATGCGAGTCATGCGAGTCATTGTCTCATACTAGTGGACAATGCTGCTTGCTATGTACTCTCCTCATGCTCCCTCACACCTCTCTTTCTTGTTTCCTGTGCTGCCTGCCTGTCATCCAGTGCGGGAGTGTGAGGAGCAGTTTGGAAGGCTGTGGGTGGAGTGCCAGCGATGCCAGGGCAGCTTGCATCAAGACGTGCTCTGCACCAGGTGGGATGATGGCTCTGGCGGTGCTGCTTTCTTTCTTATTGCATGGAGTGCCAGCGATGCCAGGGCAGCTTGCATCAAGACGTGCTCTGCACCAGGTGGGATGATGGCTCTGGCGGTGCTGCTTTCTTTCTTATTGCATGGAGTGCCAGCGATGCCAGGGCAGCTTGCATCAAGACGTGCTCTGTACCAGGTGGGATGATGGCTCTGGTGGTGCTGTGCCAGTAATGTGTAGCTTTTTCTTGCCCACTCCCCCCTGTTCTCTGTCTTGCCCTGGCAGCCGTGACTGCCCCATATTCTACCGGAGGAAGAAAGCACAGAAGGACGTCGAAGAAGCACACGCTCAGCTTGCAAGATTTGACTTTTGACTGAAAACTCAAGAATGGACCTCGCTTGTAGTTGTGCAATGACCCCAAAAGGGTCAACAAATAGAAATATAGAAATATTAACAACCACAGAAGTGAAGGGGCGCAGGCCCAACATTATCTCTCCTCTCAGAATTCGAACTCTGACCTACCTCACTAATTCCATAAAGGCTCTCTCGATACGTTTAGAAGAGCCAGCCCTGCTAAGATGCAGTCAGCCAGGCCTCAGTTGTGTAGAGCTCGATTGTATAAATGCGCCGAGTTCCTTGTTCTTGCTAGATTTGTGCTCCAGTGCTGCTGTGTTGTCCAAGCAAGGTAAAGGTTGTGCCTTGGAGAAGCAACTAGTACAGTTGTCCATGAAATGCAGGATGGGTGCAGGAGGATGGGATGGGATGAGTGGAAAGGGAAGGAGGGGTGAACACAAGGATAATGAGCAATTAGCACAAGGCTTGAGGGAGCTTAGGGGGGGGATGAGGGATGAACACAGGCGCAAGGGGATGAGCGCACAAGGGGATGAGCGCACAAGGGGATGAGGGAAGAACACAGGGGGAACGGGACGAGCATATCCACGGAGGGATAAGGGATCAACACAGGGGGAGAGAGGGATGAGTTCACGGTGGGGTGAGGGAATAACACAGGGGGAACGGGATGAGCACAGGGGGGATGAGGGTAAGGCAGGGGGGATGATAGGCAAAGGGGAAAGGGTTGGGGGAATAGGGAAGGGATGAGTGCAGGGGGGAAGGGTGAGGGAACGGGGAAGGGATGAGTGCAGGGGGGAAGGGTGAGGGAACGGGGAAGGGATGAGTGCAGGGGGGAAGGGTGAGGGAACGGGGAAGGGATGAGTGCAGGGGGGAAGGGGGAGGGAACGGGGAAGGGATGAGTGCAGGGGGGAAGGGGGAGGGAACGGGGAATGGATGAGTGCAGGGGAGAAGGGTGAGGGAACGGGGAAGGGATGAGTGCAGGGGGGAAGGGGGAGGGAACGGGGAATGGATGAGTGCAGGGGGGAAGGGGGAGGGAACGGGGAATGGATGAGTGCAGGGGAGAAGGGTGAGGGAACGGGGAAGGGATGAGTGCAGGGGGGAAGGGTGAGGGAACGGGGAAGGGATGAGTGCAGGGGGTAAGGGTGAGGGAACGGGGAAGGGATGAGTGCAGGGGGGAAGGGTGAGGGAACGGGGAAGGGATGAGTGCAGGGTGGAAGGGATGAGCACAGGAGGAATGAGGGGAGAGCACAGTGGGAACGGATGAGGACTGCGAAAGGACGAGTGCAGCAGAGAAACGTAGGGACGGGGGAAAGGGTGAGCATAGGGGGAATGAGGGAACGGAGAGGGAATGAGGTATGAACAGAACGGAAATAAGGGGTAAGCGCAGGGGGAGGAGAGGAGAGAGCACAGGGGAGAATTATGGAAACAAGGGGAATGACAGATAAGTGCAGGGAGGGAGGAATGGTGGTGGAATGAGAGGTGGGCGCACGGAGAAAAAGGGATCAGCGCAGGAGGAATAAGGACAGCGCAGGAGGAATAAGGACAGCGCAGGAGGAATAAGGACAGCGCAGGAGGAATAAGGACAGCGCAGGAGGAATAAGGACAGCGCAGGAGGAATAAGGACAGCGCAGGAGGAATAAGGATGAATGCGGAAGGGACGAGGGGTGGGCGAAATGGGGAATGGGGAGAGGGGCGAGTCACGGGGAGATGAGGGATGAGCGGGGGCAACACGTAGTTACGAAGCAAGATCGCCCCCTTGCAAATGCGAAAGGAGGACAGTCGGCGAAAGGAAAGGGGGACGGCGAAAGGAAAGGGGGACGGCGAAAGGAAAGGGGGACGGCGAAAGGAAAGGGGGACGGCGAAAGGAAAGGGGGACGGCGAAAGGAAAGGGGGACGGCGAAAGGAAAGGGGGGCGGCGAAAGGAAAGGGGGACGGCGAAAGGAAAGGGGGACGGCGAAAGGAAAGGGGGACGGCGAAAGGATGGGGGGAGGGGGACAGGAGGGGGAGGGAAGGGGAGATGATTAAGGAGCCTAAACTTGCGTTGGTGCTCCGCCATTCCAATCACGAATTTTTTTTTTTTTTTATGTTGAGTTACGGCGTCATCAGCGCGCGTCAGCGGCAGCGCGCATCACACAGACATTGCATTTCTAGGTTAAGCTGTAGATCTTGACATTCGTTACGCGGAGACCAAGCTTAGCGCGGATTGACGCTCGAGCATGGGGTCAACGAGTGGGCCGCCACCGTCCGTTCGAGAGTATAAGCCCTTCGTGAAGTAACGTGTATACAACGGAGACAGGTAATTCTTATCGATCCTGAAAAAAGCACGCACTAGAACCATTTGCACGCTAAGAAGGGTGGTAAGATATGAGGCGGTCTCGACTAATAGGGCACCAGGAGCAAGGGCAAGTCATACGAGCGGAGATTACTAATCTAGGTTCTAGATCTGGGAGCGAGGTGACCACCAAATAATCAGATCTGAGGCTCGAACAACGATGTCAAAATAGCGAGAGGGTGGTTGGTGCACTAACCCAAACCCCGTTACAGTAACCTTTTATGTTCCCTTGGTGTTTTTGTGTTTTCTCGTTCGGGTTTGATTTTCTTGAAGTTTTCCATTGTCTCTCGATTCTTCTTCGCTCTAACTCCCCATTCTGATTGGTCCTGCGGAATTTTTCCATCCAGCAAGTTCCATACCAGCTGCCCAAGCTTTGATTTTGCGCAAGCCAAATTCCATGTGCCTCGATGGTGCTCCTCGCCTCCCTTCTCCGAACGTGTCTACTAGCCTCAAATAGAGTAGATCGGAATGCTGCGGAACTTGAAGACACTTGAAGATATTTGAAGACATTTGAAGATATTTTTCACTTGAAGAATTCAAGGCGCCGCGAGCTTCCAGGATAAGGCTTTCGTGCGTTACTGATTTTTTTCTATTGGCGGGCCTTATGATAATCGTTTCTATGATGCACAGATCATAATCTCGTCTTCAACTCAAGCTCCGGCGCCGCGAGGACTTCGAAAGACTTGGAGGCTTCACAAGACCAAGACGGCGCCACGACAACGTCATCACGTCACGATCTCCACGTCATCGCGGCAAGGGTGAGTTTCTCCACCATTGTCGTGTTTGTCGCGCTTTGTCGTGCGTTTCTTGTCTTTTTTTTCCTGTTCTTTATGTTTTTTCCATCTTGTTTCCATCAGTTTTACTAACGTTTTTCGTTTTTTAGTGTGCAGGTTTCGTGGAGGGGAGGCCGCGGGTGTTATCACCTTTTCCCTTCCGTCTCTTTCTCTGTCTTGTCTCCTCAGGTCAATGGAGGAGGAGCACAAACGGACGGGAGGTCGAGGCTGGAGGAACGAAACCTAGGGTGAGTTTCTCTACCTATGTCGTGTTTGTCGCGCTTTGTCGTGCTTTTCTTATCTTTGTTTTTCCTGATCTTTCTCTTCTTGTTTTCATCTTGTTTTCATCAGTTTTACTAACGTTTTTTCGTGTTTTAGTGCGCAGGTTTCGTGGAGGGGAGGCCGCTGGAGCTATCATTTTCCCTTCTGTCTCTCTCTCTGTCTTGTCTCCTCAGGTCAACGGAGGAGGAGCACAACGTACGGGAGGTCGTGGCTGGTGGAACGAAACCAAGGGTGAGTTTCTCCTCCTTGTCGTGTTTGTCGCGCTTTGTCGAGCTTTTCTTCTCTTTGTTTTCCTGTTCATTCTGTTATTATTTTCATCTTGTTTTCATCAGTTTACTCACGTTTTTCGTGTTTTAGTGCGCAGGTTTTGTGGAGGGGAGGCCGCTGGAGCTTTCACCGTTTTCTCCCTCTCCTTCCTTTCCAGGCCATGGCGGAGGAGCAGAAGAACGGCACGGCACGGCTCTGCTCGGCACGGCACTGCTCGGCACGGCACGGCTGAAGGGTGAGAGTTGGTAAGGTACGCGGGTGGCGATTAGGAGCGACGGGGTGGCGAGTAGGAGTAGGAGCGACCACGTGGCACAGGTATCTAGATACGACGCGCGCTCGTGGTACTCGTGGTACAGGTTCGAGGGAGGTGGGGGTGGTTGGGTAGTATGCATGCAGATGGGTTTCCTTCCCATCCAGCTTCCGTGGAGCAGCACCGACTCGAGGCGCCTTCAACCTGACATCTGACATCCGGATATTTGAGGTGGTCTGCCCGGTGGCAGGACAATCTAATTTTTTTCCCTGTTTCCCACAGGTGTCCCGTACGAATAACCCCCACCTCAACGCGGTGTACGGGTTAAACGCTAGGAGCTTGCTCCTAGCGGCCAAGAGGGGCGAAGATTGAAGTGGCGGTTTCAGCTGAAGAGCATCTGGTTTCATTGGTTGACGTTTAGCCACTGCCTTGATTGAACCCTAATATTAATGTTTTAGTTGTCTCTTGATTTTGTGTAAGTGGTTTTTTTTTATGTCTTTCACGCTTGGAGAAACATAGCACTCTGTAGTCACCAACAGGAAAAACACAGAGCTTAACTCCGCAGAACATGGGTGTCACACTCCTACCGAAGAAATTCTGCCCAGGGCAACGCTCTCTGTCGGTAGAAAAGAATCCTGCTTCTCACAGCCTTTCAAGTTGCGCTGACGACAGTGTCAGGCGAACCAAAAAATAGCGCAGTTCTGTCCTGCTTCCCGCCATCCCTTTCGCGGTTCGGTTACCAGCCTTTTTGCGCGGTACTGTACCTTATGCGCGGTTTGATGCTTTATGCGCGTCTCTTCACAGAATTCTAGTCCGTGTTACCAGCTTGAATACACCTGTCGCAAACGATTTCGCAAGCTGCACTCAGCATATCACGCGATCAGCTCGAACATCCCCAACAGAAACCAAAGATGTGGAAATAGAAATGGAACTAAATTGTTATTCAAACGTCATGCCCTCTCGTTTCTCAGTATCGCGTATGTCATAGCTCGAGACAAGCTCGAAGACAGTCTCCATCCAATCCAGTCGTGCCACCATGGCGATAATGATGGGAAAGTTGGATTAACTACTTCACAGGCAGGACCGCTCTGATTTGACGCATCGACAACATTCCGTAGCTTTTCATTTCGTAATACATCCCTAAGTATGGCGTGTCTTTTCCGTTCGCAAGTAGTTTCGATTCGCGCATTGGGAGCTGTACAGACTGATTGTGGTCGCGAGTGGCCTCTTAGAAACTCGAAAATCCCACTTAGATCTCTGAACTTACCTCCATCGAAAGCCGTTCCCAAGATTAAAACGCGTGGCCACAGCCTGACGATCAGGTGCTATGCTAGAAATCCCTCCAGATCAGCAGAGACTTCAACGGCGGAGATCGCATTTGTGGACGTCGAGCCGTTGCAGCCAAACGGGACAGGGATTGAGACGCGCAGTGCGGGGGAGGAGGAGGGTGGGAGCAATGGCGGCGAAGCGGAGAGCAGCGTGAGGGTAGTAAGGGGCGACGAGCCGGGGAATAGGGGGATTGGGGACGGGGGAAGTGGGGATAAGAGGAGTGGGGATAAGAGGAGCGGGGATAAGAGGAGTCGGAAAAGAGCAGGGAAAACGAGCAGAGGGGGAGAATATTGCGACGAAGAAGAGGAGGCAGTGGCAATGATTGCGAGTGTGCTACGAGATAAATTCGGGCCTCGGATTGTGAGAGAGGAAGGGGATGGAGGCGGAAGCACTGAGGTTGAAGAGGGGGATAAGGAGGAGGAGGAACTGGAGGCAGAGGGAGTTAAAGAGGAGGAAGGGGTAGCGGCCAGTGAAATGGAATACGGCGAGGGGAAGGGGGACGACATAAAAGCAGAATTGAGCGAAAAGGAGCCAGTAGGCGCACCTGCTACTCCACTCAAGGGCACGCGTGCAACATTTCCCTCCTCCCTCCTCTCCCTCTACCGCTTCTTCTCCTCCCACCTCGGCATCTCCTCCCCTTCCACTGTCGCTTCCCTCCTCGCCTCTCACCCTGCCCTCCTGCGTTCCGATCCCACCAATGACCTGCTGCCACGTGTCCAACTTTTACAGTCGTACGGCATTTCCCAGGCCATCATTGTCCACGTCACCATCACGAATGCGTCTTGGCTCCGAAGCTCCCTTCCCCAAATCCAGGGGACATGTGAGTTTATCCTGGCTCGGGGCGTCCGCCGAAGCAAGCTAGGTATGGTGATTCGGGGCGCGCCGTACCTCATCCGCTCGCAGGCTCGTTCAACGAACCTAGACATTCTGGTGGAGGCAGCAGGGATTCCCGAGGAAAAGCTGGGTGTGATTATAGAGAGGTGCCCGAATATCTTATGTCGAAGCAAAGAATCCATACAGGATCAAATCAAGATGTTGTCAGACTACCTATCAGATGGATTGGAAGAGAAGGGGACAGAAGGGGATACCGCCAGCAGCAGAGGACACCTGAAGCAATACCTGAAAAAACACCAGAATCAGCAACGCCTAGACAAAAAGATCCTCCTGACGAGGCTTCTCCTGAACTACCCTCGGATCCTCCTCTCCTCTTCTGAACGTATCTCAGCCAACCTCCGCCTCCTGCAGTCCTTCACTCCCCCTGATAGCCCCTCCATTGCCCTCCCTGTTCTCCGCCACGCTCCTTCTATACTAAACCTCGGATCGGAGAATCTTTTGGCTAAGCTCCAGTTCTTTGTGGAGCTGGTGGGGAGAAAAGCAGCAGGGAGGGTGGTTAGTAGTCATCCGCTGGTTTTGACTCTGTCTAAGGAGAATTTGGAGGGTAAGGTGGCGGTTCTGAGCGGTTTAATTGGGCCGGAGAATGCAGCACTTGCAGTGGCGCGATTCCCGCTGCTGCTGACTTCTGGGGAAGAGACTATGAAGCAGAACTATGCAGAGCTTTTGAGGGAGTTTCAAGAGGCGTTGGGACGGGGAGGATGGGAGGAGGTTGAGATTGAGGGACTGGAGACAGGTGGGATTGGTGAAGGGAATGAGGGGGATGGAGAGTACAGGGTGCAAAATGGAAAACACGAAGGTGCTTTGGGCGTGGCTGAAGGTTCAGTGAATGGAGTGGAGGAGCTAGCACGCAAGTTGGTGGTGAATCTGACTCTGAAATCCCCGCAATGCATTTATTACAGCTGGGATGGGAACATGAGGCACAAGGTAGAGTACTTGAAGCGGGAAATGAGGCTCTCTATAATGGAGGTGCTTGCCTTCCCTCCATTTCTGGGGTTTAACCTGGATCGGCGAATCAAGACGCGACATGAGGCGCTGCTGGGATTGGGCTATGAGGTTGTGTCCTATAAAACGATGGCTCGTCGGAAGCTCAGCAGCAATCGGAAAGGGGCAGCGAAGAAAGATGAGGAGAGGGGGAATCGGGAGGAGCATGTGGATGGGGAGGGGAAGGAGGGTCGAGCAGATGTGGGGAATGGGGAGGATGAGTGGCAAGAAGAGGAGGGTGGGGTGGGGAGTAGTGGGTTTCTGGTACGACCATCTCTTGGCAATGACCAGCCAAGTGGAAGAGGGTTCGAGAGCCAAGGCGTGTCACAGCAACAGGTGAAGAAGCTAATGTGTTTGTCTCAGTTCCTTAGTTGTACTGATAAGCGCTTCAAGGAGAAGTTCATGATGACCGGAAAATAGAGGGTACAATATCTTTTTTGTGGATGACCCTATTGTTGCAGTTGCAATTGATTGATTATTGCACGTGAAATGGGTTTACTGTAACAATTGTGCGTTTGCCGGGTAAAGCTCAATATGTAGGCAGGAATTCGAAACCGCACATAGCAGTTGAGATGACGGCGAACACACACGATTCTTCGCGAGTGTAGCAAGCCGTCGTCGCAAGTGTAACGAAATCACTGGAAACTCCGTATGCGACATTTTGGGGTCACAACGCTCTCGTCAAAAGCAGATGCATTGATTCGCGAGTCAGGGTGATCCCAGCTCGGCAATCCCAGATCAGAAAACCATCACTTCGTCGCATTCGTCCCAGCTATTTTCTGCTATTTTACCGCTGATTCTTATCAGAGCACTTTTTTTGCTAGTTTTTCCTCGGTTTGAATTGTAGAATCTGCTGCCAGAGAGCGACACGACTGAATGCCAGCAACGGGAGTATGCATAGAGACGAACGTTATGGCAAAGCGTTAGGTTTGGCTGTCACTGCGAAGATTCGGGAATCCGGGAGTCACTACTGATGTAATCCATCATCCGTTTTCGAAACGAGTCGTTACATTCGGCTATTCGCTATGGCGTACCGTACCAGAACTTCACGTCCATCCATCGCGTGGATTAACAAATTAAGATTTTCATTTAGGTACATTACGCAATCTTCTACTCGTTCCAAGTCATTCTCAGCGAAGCCCGAGATTACATCCGCAGCTGCTATTCCTTCTCCGCCGAGCTTCTACCGGTTTGGGCTAAGTCGACATCAACCTGCGGAAAACGGATTCACCAGGTTTCGAACCCTTGACCGGAGCTTCACCATAAGCTGTCCCGCTGGATCGTTGGTCAGAGCAGCCGAGGTTCTCGAGGCGGAGAGCGCGACTGTGCGATTCGATCCGAGCTTCGATGACGAGCCAGTAGTGGCGGTTGGGACGGAGGCTCGGTTGCGTGCAGATGGAAGAGAGGGGGGAGAGAGTGAGGGAGGAAAATCTGAGAAGAGCAGGAGTCGAGTGACAAGAGCAAGGGAAGTGGGGAGAAAGACTTTTGGGTTGACTCAAAAGTCGGCTCGGTTGCGTACAGATGGAAGAGATGAGGGAGAGAGTGAGGGAGAGAGTGAGGGAGAGAGTGAGGGAGAGAGTGAGGGAGGAAAATCAGGGAAAAGCAGGAGTAGAGTGACAAGGGCAAGAGATGTGGAGGGAAAGGTTGAGGGACGCGGGTGGAAGCGTGGAGAGCGGGGAGGATGCGAGGGGGAGGAGGAGGAGGAGGAGGAGGAGGCAGTGGCAGTGATTGCTGGAGTGTTGAGAGAGAAATTTGGACATAAGATTGTGAGAGAGGAGGGGTTTAGAAACGGAATGATTACGGATGAGGAGCAGGCTAAGGGACGACAAGAAGAGGAAGAGGAAGGGGATGGGGATGAGGAAACAGAGGGCGCAGAAGTAGAGGGCGAAGAGCATGAAGAAGGGAACGAGGGGGAAGACGCAGAGGCAGGACCGAGTGAGGAGGACGCACCACTCACTCTTCTCACACCGACCACACCTCCTCCTCGACTCGACAGCTCGCGGGTCGTATCTCCCTCCTCCCTCCTCTCCCTCTACCGCTTCTTCTCCTCCCACCTCGGCATTTCGTCCCCTTCCACTGTCGCTTCCCTCCTCGCCTCTCGCCCTGCCCTTCTGCGTTCCGATCTTGCCAGTGACCTGCTGCCACGTGTCCACCTCCTCCAGTCGTATGGCGTATCCCGTGTCGACATTTCAGCCATCACTAGGAGAAATCCTTTCTGGCTCCGGCTCTCCCTTCCCCGGGTTCGGGAAATGCTTGACTTTCTCTTGGCTCGGGGCGTACGCCGATCCAAGCTAGGTTTGGTGCTCCGAAAGGCTCAATATCTCATTAGCATGCGGACTCGTTCAACGAACCTGGACATTCTGGTGGAGAGAGCAGGGGTTCCTGTGGACAAGCTGGGTGTGATTATAGAGGCCCAGATATCCTATGCATGGGGGAGGAAATTATTCGAAGTCGTCTTGAGCAAGTATCAGCTTTTCTTGCTAACGGATACGGAGAAGGTAGCGTCAAGGACAATATTTACCTGAGCAGAATTCTGGTGCAGTATCCAAGAATCCTCCTCAATCCTCCCGAACGCATTGCTAGCATCGTCAGCCTCCTCCAGTCCTTCACTCCCCCTGGCTCCCCTTCCGTTGCCGTCCCTGTTCTCCGCCATGCCCCCACTCTCATGTGCCACAGCTCACAGAATATCTTGTCTAAGCTCCAGTACTTAGAGAAGCTGGTGGGGAGGAAGGCAGCAGGGAGTGTGGTGCGCAGCTATTCGTCGATTCTTGTTCTGTCTGTAGAGAACATGCAAGGGAAGGTGGAATTGTTGAGCGATCTGATTGGCCGAGAGAACGCTGTGCTTGCAGTGGCTCGGTTTCCTAGGCTGCTGTCATCGAATGGTGAGAACCTTAAGAAGGGTTTTAGAGAACTCGTGCGAGAAGTGGAAGCGGCAATGGAGGAGAGTGGGGGAGAGGAGGTGAGGAGGCAAATGCTGGAGGAAGGTGCAAGGAAGCTAGCAAGGGAAGGGAGCAGACAAGCATTTAAGAGCATTGCTGGTGCCACGATAGCTCATGAGATGGTGGCGAATCTGGTGGTGAAGTTTCCCCATTCTATCTGCTACAGTTGGGAGAGGAATACGAAGCACAAGGTGGAATACTTAAAGCAGGACATAGGGCTCCCTGTAACGGAGGTCCTTGCGTTCCCTTATTTCCTTGGGTACAGCTTGGATCAGCGAATCAGACCGCGACATCTGGCGCTGCTGAGCAAGGGCTACGTGCTCGTGCCGCATGAGGTGGCTCGGCCTAAAAATGGTGGAGGGGGAGGGAATATGGAAGGAGTTAGCAACGAGAGGAGGGCAGAAGGGAAGGATGAGGATATTAAAGTGGATTACGGGGAGGATGAGGTTGAGATGCATGAGTTGGGGGTGAGGAAGGTCGAGCATCAAAGTGTATTGGGTTCTATGCAAGACTATTATGGTGTGTTGGGGAGAACAGGTGCTGCAAACCGGTGCGGCATGAATCAGCAGCAGGGAAGGGAGGCGGTGTGCTTGGCTCAGTTGCTTAAATGCTCAGACAAGGAGTTTGAAAAGAGGTTTGGGGTAGAGCTTGCACCGTTTATGCTGGAAACTCGTCCCTAGTCGGGCTTTTGAAGCGCCTCAAAAAGGGGGTGGTGTGCTTGGTTCTGTTACTTGTTTGCCTGGACAAGAAATTCAAGGTGCAAGGTTGAACTTGTTGCACCGTTCATGCCGGGAACTTGTCCCTAGTCAGCCTTTGATGTGCCGTGAATGGCAGGGGATGCGTTTGCTTGTTTCAGTTGCTTGGATGCACAAACACCGAATTTTGACAGATTCAAAGTTGAGTTTACACCGTTTATGCCCCAAACTAGTCCCTTGTCGGGTTTAATGAAGCATTTTGTAAAATAGCAAACTGGTACGAATTTGGAACGGCACAAACGGGATATGACAGGCGAACAAACACGACTTGTCGCAATTGGGGCAACCAGTCGTCGCCTGGATAAAACGGACTAGCGAAAGCACACGGAACTCCGCTTGCGACTTTTCAGTGTCGCAATGCACAAGTGAACAGTGAATAAATTGGTTCGCCAGCCAGGATTGTCGCACCTCGGTAATCCCCGCGCCAGCAGCCTGGTTGTCCCTTCCATTCGTCCCTGCTCCCAGTTGTCTTGATTCATAACCAGGACACCTAATCTGGAGTTTCCTAGGATCTGCTACAAGAGAGCGAGATGAACGCAGTCAGGGAACTGGACTAACAATAAAGTCGAAGCGCTTTTTTAGCGCGTTAGACTTCACGCAGTCACAGCACGATGCTCAGGGAATCACGTCTGATACTTAGTAGTAGGACAAGTACTGAAGCCGTATAGTTTGATTATGTAAATCTTTCATCCTTTTTTTCCATCCTGAAGCCGTATAATCCGTCGGCTAATCGCTATGGCGTGTCGTATCTCCAGGTCACGGCCATCCATCGCGCGGATTGACAGATTTTTATTTTCGCAAAGACACATTACACAATCTTCTACTCCTCGTTCCAAGTTACTCTTATTGAAGCCCGAAGTTGCATTCGCAGCTGCTATTCCGTCTCCGCCGAGCCTCTACTGGTTTGGGCCGCACCGACACCAACATGTGTAAAACGCATTCGCCAGGACTCAAACCCCTGACCGGAGCTTCACTATAAGCTGTCTCGCTAGATCGTTGGCCAGAACAGCAGAGGTTTCCGAGGCGGAGAGCGCGAACGTGCGATTTGATCCGAGCTTCGATGACGAGCCAGTAGTGGCGGTTGGGACGGAGGCTCGGTTGCGTGCAGATGGAAGAGAGGAGGGAGAAAGTGAGGGAGGAGAGTCAGAGACAAGCAAGTGTAGCGTGGGAAGGGAGGTGGTGGAAGGCGGAGGAAAGTGCACGAGACGTGAGACGAAAGAAGGGGAAGTGAAGGGAAAGGTTGAGGGAGGCGGGTGGAAGCGTGGGGGGAGGGGGGGATGTGGAGGGACCGAGGAGGAGGAAAAGGCAGTGGCTGTGATAGCTGGAGTGTTGAGAGAGAAATTCGGACCCCAGATTGTGACAGAGGAGGGGTTTAGTAACGGATGGATCACGGATGAGGAGCAGGCTAAGGGACGACGAGAAGAGGAGGAGGAAGGGGATGGGGATGAGGAAACAGAAGGCTCAGAAGTTGGGGGCGAAGAGGATGAGGAATGGGTGGAGGGGGAAGACGCAGAATTAGAAGCAGAATCAGTAGCAGAAGCAGGAGCAGGAGCAGAAGCAGAAGCAGGAGCAGAAGCAGAATCAGTAGCAGAAGCAGAATCAGTAGAAAGTGAGGAGGGCGCACCACCCACCACATCTCCTCCCACACCCCCTCCTCCACTCAACAGCCCGCGGGTCGTATCTCCCTCCTCCCTCCTCTCCCTCTACCGCTTCTTCTCCTCCCACCTCGGCATCTCCTCCCCTTCCACTGTCGCTTCCCTCCTCGCCATTCGCCCGTCGCTCCTTCGTTCTGATCCCACCAATGACTTGCTGCCACGTGTCCAGCTTCTAGAGTCATATGGCATATCCCGTGCCGACATGTCAGCCATCACAATGAGAAACTCTTTCTGGCTCCGAGCCTTCCTTCCCCAGATTCAGGAAATACTTGACTTTCTCTTGGCTCGGGGCGTTCGCCGTGCCAAGCTAGGTACGGTGCTGCGACAGTCTTCATACATCATGAGCATGCGGACTCGTTTTAAGAACCTGGACTTTCTGGTGGAGAGAGTAGGGGTTCCTGTGGACAAGCTGGGCGTGCTTATAGAGCGAGGCCCAGATATCCTAAGCATGAGGGAGGAAATCATACGAAGTCGTCTCGAGCAAGTATCAGCGTTTCTTACTGACGGGTACGGAGAAGGAAGAGCCAACAGTGGGCATCTGGGCAGACTTGGCAAACTTCTGGTGCAGTATCCAAGAATCCTCCTCAATCCTCCCAAGCACATTGCTACCAACTTCAGCCTCCTCCAGTCCTTCACTCCCCCTGGCTCCCCTTCCATTGCTATCCCCATTCTTCGTCGGGCCCCCACTCTCGTCCACCGCAGCTCGCAGAAGATCTTAACTAAGCTCCAGTACTTAGTCGAGCTAGTGGGGAATAAGGCAGCAGCGAGTGTGGTGCGCAGCCATCCATCAGTTCTTCTTCTATCCATAGAGGACATGCAAGGGAAGATGGCATTGTTGGGCGATCTGATTGGCCGAGAGAACGCGGTGCGTGCAGTGGCTCGGTGTCCTTTGCTGCTGGCTTCGAATGAGGAGAACCTTAAGAAGGGTTTCAGAGGTCTTGTGCGGGAAGTGGAAGAGGCAATGGGGGAAAGTGGAGGAGAGGAGAATGGAAGGCAAATGCTCCAGGATGGTGCAAGGACGCTTGTGCGAGAAGTGGAGGAGGCATTGGAGGGTGGTGATAGGCATGCAAGAGAAAGCCCGAGTTTTGAAGCGTCTCAAAAGGATGCAAGAGAATGTGCGGATCAAGGGGAGAGTGGTGCTGGCTTTCAAGGGGCAACCGAGAGCTTTGTTGTAACAAGGGCTGGAGAAGAACGAGGCTTTAAGAGCATTGCTAGCGCCACCACAGCTCGTGAGGTTGTGGTGAATCTGGTGCTCAAGTTCCCAACATGTATCGGCTGTAGTTGGGAGAGGAACACGAGGCATAAGCTCGAATACTTAAAGCGGGACATGGGGCTGTCTATAAAGGAGGTGCTTGCGTTCCCTCACTTCCTTGGGCACAGCTTGGATCGGCGAATCAGACCGCGGCATGTGGCACTAGTGAGCAAGGGCTATATGTTGGTTCCACATGAGGAAGCTCTTCCGGAGAATGGTGGAGAAGGGGGAGGAGTGAGAGGGGTGTTGGAAGGAGCTGTTGGTGGGGGGAGGCAAGAGAAGGAAGCAGAAAATGGGGAGGACGAGGGTGAAAAAGATGCGCAAGGGGTGAGGCAGCATGAGTATGGAACTGCAGCGGATTCTACACACGACAGCTATGCTTCGTTGGGGAGAAAGGGGGCTGTGGGGCAGAGAGGTGTGATTCGGCAGCAGGGAAGGAAGGTAGTGTGCTTGGTTGTTAGAATATATATTTATATATATTTATGTACCTGCCTGTAGCTGTAGCTTTAGTGTAGTTATAAACTCTTTGTGTTGGTGGTTCACCTCCTTTGTCTCCTACTTGTACCCACAATTCTATAGTGAGACGCCCTTCTTTCTCGACATTCCACTCTCTCGCCACTCTCCTAGGTTCCTAACCTAGCCTAGCTTCTTGACATTGGTTCAGTTCCTTATAGGCTCCGACAAGCAATTCGAAAAGCGATTCAATGTCAAGCTTGCACCGCTTGCCAGTACTCCGTAAATCCCAACATTTGGATTGATGCTATAAAACTCATTTCTACGAAAGAACCATACCGCGTACCTCTTTCGTGTATCGAACGGTACCGTACCACGAAAGAACCATACCGCATACCATACCATAAGCATGGTATGAATGTTATTGCAGAAGGTTCCTGAACATCTATGAAGGCATACTACATACCAGCAGGACACCTGCTTTCATCATCACTCCGTGCCCTCCACGAGAATCACACAGCACAGCTGGGATATAGAGTTGTATGATACCGTGTACACCTAATAACACGAGCAGCTTACAAGCATTTTCGTCTTGAAATCTTATATTCTCAACTTCCGTAAGTGAACCTTCCTTACCTCCCCCATACAATACAGTGGCTCCAGTATTGGATAAAAACCCCAAAAGAGAAGTAGGTAGCAGCTTATTGCAGCCCGGAAAGAAAAGGTACGTACTACGGTATATACGGTATCAGTCGTGAGGTCAGGCCAGCCCAACCCCAACCCCAGCAGTCAAGTCAACGTATCCCCCAGCAGTATCCCACTACAAGCAACACAGGCTGCACCAGGAAGAAAAACAGAAACAAAAGCCTGTTACCAAGCAGCTTGGCCTATCGTATGGTACTTGAGCAGCTGCAAAACCATTTCCCACACCAAGACCATGAAAACAGCTCCAGCGGGAAGGTGACTTATGAAATTCCCGAATAAGTACTCAAGGATCACGGGTTTGCTCGAAGCAGCTTCGCATATTCCGGTGGTGTCATCTCCCACACAGAGCAGATGAAAGCAGCACCCGTGGAGAGGGGGTAACTTCTGGGAATACACTCGGAAATCACTGGGTTCCTCGGAGCAGCTTGGCATACTCGGGTGGAATCATCTCCCACACTGAGCAGATGAAAGCAGCACCGGTGGGGAGGTTCTGCTTGGTGATGCGGACGAGAGCCAGAATGGTCTTGCCGGTGCGCTGGCGTGCCATGGACCAGCAGGACTTGTCCAGATGAGCGTCGACTCCTGAGGGGATCAAATGGGGTAGAAACAAGGGAAGGGGATCAGTCGGGTATTGCTTGTTGGGGCGCCTTCGGGGCGTGCCATGGACCAGCAGAGCTTGTCCAGATGTGCATCCGTGGCCGGGATCAATTCTTGAAGCGCCTCAAAAGACAACTTCTAAGGCGCCTCAAAGACGACTTTTGAGGCGCCTCAAAAGTCGCTGGCGTGCCATGGACGAGCAGAGCTTGTCCAAATGCGCATCCGTGGTCGGGATCAATTCACGGAAAAAAGGGAAGGACAGGGGCAGGAGAGTACGCAGCACCGCGATGCACCGAGCAGCACTGCACCGCAACGTACCGAGCAACATGAAGTCCTCTCTGCAGTTGATGTTGTAAAACAGATCCGGAAAAGCCACCGGCTCAGCCAGGGGATACACTGCCTCGTCTGCAGCAGCAGCTGCTGCTCCTGCTGGTGCTCCAGCCGCTGCTAATGGTGGTGCTGCTGCTAGGGGTGTCGTTGGCGGTGGTGCGAGTATGGGCATGCAGAACAGTTTGCTTGCCTCTCTGTTGCAGGCTGTGACTGTACCCAAGGCGTCCACCACCAGACGGGATTCGCCAGCAGCCTGTAACGGGGATTGGGTGAAGAAGGGAGAGAAAAGAAGAGAAAGAACAGAGGCAAGTGTTTGAGAGAAGTGCTCCTGTCCACCGTTAATGACTCACGCAGTGCTTGGCCACACAGGCTGAAAAACACAATGCCCTATTCACAAACTCAAATGCGCAAAAGCTCCTTCACAAACTCATCAATCCAACCACAGCTTATTACTACCCAACCTTTTCAACTCACCGGCACTCACCCCTCATAGAGCTTGCTCTTGGCCTCCATTCTTCGCTTCCTCTCGCTGATGCCAAACAAGGCCTGCCCCAGCGTGTCTAGGCGTTTCACTCTTCAGCAATACTTCATCTTGTTCAACTCACACACACACTGCCTGGCAGCACACTGACTGAGATCCACTCACCAGCACTGAGGTGTTTTTTGTGGCGCCTCAAAAAACAATTAATCAATACTTCATCTTGTTCAACTCACTCGCACACTGGCAACACACCGGCAGCACAGGCACACTGAGATTCACTCACCGGCACTCGCCCCTCATAGAGCTTGCTCTTGGCCTCCATCCTTCTCTTCCTCTTGCTGATTCCGAACAGGATCTGCCCCATCGTGGCCGATAGTGGCTCTGTTGCATGCACTAAATCCTCGTTATAGCCTCCCTCCTTGTTCGCTACCATCCACACGCCCACTAGCTCGGTGCCTGTTTTCAATGAGGAGGTAAAAGAGAAGGGGAGGAGGAAAGGGAGAAGAGGAGGAGGAAAGGGAGAAGAGGAGGAGGAAAGGGAGAAGAGGAGGAGAAAAAGGAGAAGGGGGGCAGAAATGGGAGAAGGGAAGGAGGAGATGATTTAAAGGGGGACAAGAAAAAAGGGGAGGAGGAACACTAACCTGCATAGCCCATCCCACTCACATGAACACAGGGAAGGAAAGGAAGGCTTTAATGGTCGAGACAGGTTGACCAAGGGGTGTGCCGGACAGACGACTGTGGGTCGGAGAGCGGGTGGTTGGAGATGTAGGGCTGGCGAGAGGCAATGGCGTGACAGTGGCACATTTGAGAATTCTCAAAAGCGGCATGGAGAGTTAAGTTTTTTTAGAATTCTCAAAAAACATACGCGGCAATGGAGTGACAGTGGCACATAGCTTGCATTGCATAGCCCATCACGCTCTCTTACCCATGAAAACCGGCACGGAGAGAAAGGCGTTGATGCTCGGGTGCCCAGGAGGAGTGCCGGACGATTGCGGGTCGGAGAGCGGGTGGTTGGATATGTAGGGCTGGTGGGATGCGATGGAGGAGGGATACTTGGACAGCCCAACATGCTCACCCGCACGGATAGCCGAGTCCACTCACCCATGAACACAGGCAACTTTTGAGGCAACTTTTGAGGCGCACTTGAACAGCCCAACATGCTCAGGCGCACGGATAGCTGAGTCCACTCACCCATGAACACAGGCACGGAGAGGAAGGAGTTGATGGTGGGATGCCCAGGGGGTGTGCCGGACGATTGCGGGTCGGAGTGAGGGTGGTTTGAGATGTAGGGCTGGCGGGATGCGATGGAGGCGCCGAGGAGGGACTTCATGTTGGTGAAGACTAGACCGCTGGCATAGTTGGCGAGACACCACTGGTGTAGCTCTGGCGTCCATGCCACGTTGGTGGCTGCATGGGTCTGTTTTGGGGTTGGGGGAATAGAGAGGGGTAGAGAGCGCTAGGGATGGTGGTTAGAGAGTGGTGGAGCTGGGTAGAAACTGGTGGAATGGAGTTGCCAAGAGGGGCGATCGATGGGGAGGAGGCGATGGAGGCGCCGAGGAGGGACTTCATGTTGGTGAATACGAGCCCGCTGGCGTAGTTGGCGAGGCACCACTGGTGTAGCTCTGGCGTCCATGCCACGTTGGTGGCTGCGTGGGTCTGGTTTGGTGGAGTGCGGTAGAGAGGGGTGGAGAGGAGTAGAGATGGGTAGAGAGGGGCAGAGAGGAGGGGTGGAGGGAGTGAAAGGTAGGGAGTGGTGCTGACACGCGAAGCTATGGCACCTGTTTGGGGCCCACTCGGACTTTAATGCTCTCAAACCCACCTTGAGGTAAGGTGAACCGTCGTGGCGGTGCAGCACAGAGGCAATGACGCCCATGGGGGACTGGGTGATGTTCAGGAAGGCGCTCACTCTCTCACTCAATCCCTCCTCCACTCACTGACTTGCACGCGCACAACCATGTGCCTGCACCCACGCACCTTGAGGTAAGGTGAACCGTCGTGGCGGTGCAGCACAGAGGCAATGACGCCCATGGGGGATTGGGTGAGGTTGAGGAGGGCAGCGAGAAGGTGATCGCATATCTTGGTGCCGTTGGGAGTCTGCGTGGGGGATAGGAAGAGAGTGTGAGGAGGGGAGAGGGTGTTTGTGTGAGAGGCAGTCGCGCCCACGGGGGAATGGGCGGGGGAGGTCGAGGAGGGCGGCGAGAAGGTGATGGCATATCTTGTTGCCATTGGGGGTCTGCATGATATGTGTGAAGGAAAGGAGAAAATGGTGTGGGGGATAAGAAGAGAGAGTGTAGAGGCGAGAGGGGGGTTGCATGATAGTTGAATTTTTTTTTGGCACGCTTGGGGAGGGGGGGGTGGTGGCGATGAAAAGGATGAGGGATGACTCAAGTCATACATTCTTTCAGTTATATCTATCCAGTACAGTTTTGAGGCGCCTCAAAACTAATATCTATCCAGTACTAAGTAACATTAGACACTTCATTACTGCTGTGATGTAGAGCTTTAAGAAATATTTAAGGACGCACCTCATCAGTGAAAAAAAGCGAGTGTGCTTCAACCACCGCTGCAATCACTTTCCCCATCACCTCCACTCCTCCTCCCCCCGCGCTTCCCCGTTTCTCCGCTCCCACCTCCCCACTTCTCCCCCCCTTCGCAGCACCCGCGCTAACACCCCTGACACTCCCGCCACTGCGCCCACTGCTTCCGCTCATGCTCCCGCTTCCGCCCAAGCTTCCACTTCCGCCCGCATGCGCGGATCCGTGGCTGTGTCCCTTATTATCACCATCGCCCATATTCACTTCCGCTCCAGTCACAGGACACCTCAGCACCATTTTCTCCGCATTTCCCCTCCCTTCCGCCCCCTTTTCCGCCTTAACAACAACTGGCACGCCTCCCCCTGCGCCTAGCCCAGACGCCTCCAAACCCCCGACTCCTCCTCCCCCCATTCCCCCGTCCCTTCTCCTCCCAGCAGCACCAGCAGGCCTGTCCCCGCCAGAGCTGGACGGCCGAGGCGAGAGCGTAGGTACGGGAAGAGGTACGGCAGCTACACCGTACGGATCCAAACCTCCACTGAACGCCTCGGTGCCAAGGCTGCCTCCAGACGAAGACAGGCCCGTAGCGATTTCGGTAGGGTTACCACCAGCCGGATACGGGGAGTAAAGCTCCAAGCCCGAACCACCCGACGCGGAAGCAGAAAGGGACGAAAGACGACCACTGTCGCCACCACCTGAACCAACAGAGGCCCCACCTGGAGAAACACCTGCTTCCGACGCTTGAGTGCTCGGGAAACGGTCCAACTCTCCCGACTTCACCACGTTTCCCCCCTCCTTCATTCTAGTCATACCCCCCGTTTGTGTCCCCAACCCTTGCGCGCCGCCAAAGTCAACTCGCTTATTAGCAAGTCGATCTAGGTCGAACGAACCGGAGCCGCCTAGTGTCTCCCTCGCATGGAGCAGGCTGACTCCCCAGCCCTTGCCTCGCGCCGCTAATGCCGTCGAAGCTGCCGTTACAGCGCTCCCAGCAATCGAAGCTCTCCGCGTCGCGCTCTTCAACGTGTTCAACTCGTGCTGCCCTCCCCTCGCGTTAGCCACTCCCGATCCCGCCGTACGAAGCTCCCCCGAGCCGCCGCCAGTGCTGCTTGTTTTCGTCGCATCAAACGGTAAAACGGCCAGATCCGCCGCAACAGCCGCTTCGAGAGCCGATTCGAGATTCCCGAGGGACCTTGTTCGAGTCATCCCTCGCGTATCTTGTTCCGGTACCGCGTGACCTTCTAACGGGAGAATTAGCCCCTCGATAAGATCGTCTCCGTCCGTGTCGCTGGCACCAAACTCGTCCGTGTCGCTTAGTCCTTCGTCAATCTCGCCGCTGCACAGCTCTTCTAGCGACACGGGCATCATGTCGCCGCCGGTCATTGTGGAGCGAGACGAGGGGAACCGTTGCGATTGCATGCTTCTCTCCGCTTCGCGCGCGTTCCGCATGCTGTGCAGATGATCCGCGGTCTTCCGCCGCGCAATCGCCGCTCCGCCGTCATCGGCGTCCGCCATCCCCATCCCCCATCCCATCCCCATTCCCGCACTGCGCGCCGGCACTTCGCGAGTGCCCTCTTCGCCATGGGCTGACCCACCCGAGTCGCCTGTTTTGGACCGCGTCAATTCCCACGGCACACCCTTTCCCGCGCTGCTTCCGCTTCCCCCGGTACTCCCCCCCGCGCTCCCCGCACTGTTCGCTCCGGCGGAATCAGCGCCGGAACGCTCCGGGTCGGCGGAATGGCGCTTCGCTAGCCGCGTAGCGGCGCTCGCCGCCGCCGCAATCTGGGCGGGAGATGGGGAGGAGCCAGTTCCGCTGGTTCCGCGAGAAGCGGCGGCAATGGCGGCGGCCAAACGGTGATTAGCGACCGCTGTCTTTGAGGGGGAATCCCCCCTTAGAACCGCAGGGTTACTGTTCGGCGAGCCGACCGCGCCTACCGCGGAGACGGATTGGAGGTGGCGAGCGATGGCGGCTTGGCGGAACGCGGAGACCTTCTTTCCGCCGCTGGGGGAGGCGGTAAGAAGTGCGTCGGGCGCGGGGAAGGCCTTTAGCGCGGTAGGTCCCAGCCTGCGCCGCAGCGCCTGCTGCTGGTTCTGCGCCTCCGCCTCCTGCTGCTGCAGCTGCTGGGACTGCTGTTGGGACTGCAGCTCGCTGACCGCGTTAATAGGCGCCTCGTTATTAAGCGCAGCCTGCACCTGCTGTGCTATAACGGGGTTAGCGACTGCGGCAGAGGCCTTCGCTGCCGCTTCCCTGCGTAGGGAATGACGGAAGGACGAAGATAAGGAAACACGAATCAGTAGAACACGGGTTACCAATCCGCGAACTCGCGAGTGCTGTCGCGGAGTTACCCGAATAGTGACCTTTATGTAAGCAACCTTCTGAAGTCGTCGAAATATCTGCGACCGCGCAACCTATCCCTGCGCCCAGCTCTCACATCCGAGGCGCGTATATATTTTTTGTCTTGGAGTTCCATCAAGGACGGCATTATCGACCCTCATGGCAAGTTGAACCGTATGGCCGAACTATACCGGTTTGTTTTGAGAGTATAATATCCTAGACTGTTTTTTGACAAGGAGATGACGTCACGCGAACGCACCTCACGTCAAGCTGAGCTGAGCTAATCGATGACCGCGTTGAGCTTGTAGACCGCATGGACTTCGTTGACCGCGAACCGCCGCGTTTGTCCTTGAACCCGATATACTTAGCAAAGTCCGGCGAGTCAGGAACCTTCGGCATCGCCGCAGACGAAGGCGATGCGGCAACAACCTCCGCTGCCGCCACCGCGGCTCGCACGTCCCCTACTCCCCCGCCATCCTCGCCCTCGTAACTGAGAAAATTATGAAGCTCTTCATCGAAGGCCTCCATGCCCTTACTTAACCCTTCCGAAATCACTGCTGGCGCAAACTGTCCCTCCTCTACCTCACCCTCCTCTCCTCTGCGGCCGCTGCCGCCGCTGCCGCTGCCGCCGCTGCTGCTGCTGCTGCTGCTGTTTCGCAGGGTCGATTTCGACCATCGGAGGTAATTTTGAGAATGAGTAGGCGGAGAAGAAAGCGGTTCCTCCCGCGGAGCTAGGAGCAGCTTTCGCGCGGACCGCTAACGCGGCGTCGGCGTTGGTCAGAGCGGTTTTCTCCTGGCGCGCGTCGACGTTTTGAATGTCCACCTGCAGTCGCGCCGCCATTGCGGCAGACGGCCTTCCGAACCCCATGGCTCGAAGTCTATATGCTGTCGGAATTATCAGTCAAGACGATTAGCGGGTCCCAAATGCCACGCCCATCCAAGGAATCAAATTTGTGGCTACAGAATCAACAAAACAGTGCCGCAATTTGAAAATACTTTTCGCTATAACTGGATTAAAGGCCTAGCCGGGAGTTACAGTCTAGCGAGCTCGTCACCCAGGAAGCAACGTAGCCATAAATAGGCGACACTATGCGAGGGAGAGCGACAGAGGGTTGATGCATGAAAAACGGTTTCGAGACAGCTGGCGGGAAGGGAGGTGAACAACTGACATTAGTGAACCAGGCAACCAATTTGCTGGCGGCGCAACCTTGGTTAGTGGACGAGAGCAAGCGAGAGGAGAGAGATGAGAGTAAGTGGGTGGGGGGGGAAGAGATGAGAGGGAGGACGCACGAGAGTGGATGAGGTCTCGGTGGGGGATGCAATCTTTGTTTGGATTTGTTACATGAACCATTGCTCGTCAACATTTGTAGGTCGTGCATTTTGCGAAGATGTTGATTACAAGGGTACATTGAGTCCGCCAGTGCGGTTTGGCTAGAAGAGAATCCACTTGCACTTAGTGACTTAGGGCTCAAGAACGAAATAAAATAACACGAATTCCCAAACGGCACCAACGAGTGCGAATACCTTATGCTCCTCGGATATCAGAAAGCGACCTCCACGAAAACGAGGAAATGAAGAGTCTCGTACTAGACGGGATGTGAAATTGTAATACAGTGCATCGGAAATTGCACAGTAAACGGATAAGACGGTGCATTTCCGTGTTTCCGTAGAAGTGGAGTGGACGCGTAGAGGGCAATTCACCGAGTTTATACACCCACTGAACAATTCAAAGATCCACCAGTTCCATCCACTCCACCCCTTCCTGAAAAGCTCATCCGACACAGATCCGACGGGCCACTTTGCCAGGGCCGACGGACGAGGTTGAGGAGCCCAGCACCGCCGAGGCGGAGAACTGACGCGCCCGCGGACCCGCCAGCCTGGAAGAGGTCGGGGTCGAGCGCACGTCCGCCCGGGGGAGCTCGCTGCCCGCGGGCAAAAAAAAACCCTAGGGAACGCCATCCGGTCAGGGATGCACGAACCTAAACGCCTGATTTTCAATGAATTTGTGACTCAAGTCAAACCCTGGTGCTGAAGAAACAGCCCGTTCCCCCAAGATCCTGGACCCTACAGTACTACTGTAAACGAGATTTTTCGGCTCAGTTTTTTGTTGTGAGCCAGACGAAATGAAAGGGTGGGGCAGGAAAGGGACCACACTGTAGCCGTGAACTGTAAACGATGCTTGCGGTTCGACGAGAACGTGGACTCCGCTAAACCGCGTTTAATCCCTAGTACCATCAGCTCAACCGCATTAAACCTCGAGTACTTTCAGCCAAAACGCGTTAAACCCCTAATACATTCCGCGCCCAATAACCTTGTGAATCTACAAATGATGCTCGTTTGACTGACCCAAGGTTGCCTTGTGAAGGAGGCTTCTAATTGGTTCTTATTGTTCGCAGGGGTTTCGTCAGGTCGCAGCTAGCCAAAAAGGATTCGTCAGGTGCTCATAAGGTAAATGTAACTTCTTTGTTGACATTTTGACTTCAGTCTCTTCAGTTTGACTTCAAACCCTTTGTTTCTATTGGTTGAGAATCGCTGCAACTGGCGCGAGGTGCTTGTAACAAGGGTGCAACTGGCTGGGATAAAAAACACGAATGCAGACTTTCCATCTGGTAGCGGAAAATTTGCGTGCAGGATTTGAGCATCATGTGTATTAACCCTGGTGTCCAGATAAGGTTCTGTACGCTATCGCACACTGGTGATGATCGACGCATCTGACAAAAGATCCAAAGTGAAGTTCAGGAGTTTACGGAAACCAATTGTGGTGTTGAACATGGCCACGTTGAGAGCCCGACAATGAATTATATGACAATCCATGACACCAAAGAGATACACTAGTTGTAGAATGCGGACGATATTCCGCCCGCAGATATCGTGGAGTGGAACTTGTGGACGAGATCCACCAACTGAAGCTGCCCTTCCCGCCCTACAGCATGTCCACCAGAATTCCAGTGGCCACGTGTCCTGTAAATGTTTGGCCTTGTTGCATTTTCATGTGAGGTTTCGCACCGCGTTTCTCCTCAAAACCGATATCAATTCGGAATTGGTCTCTGACAAAACTACTGTACACAGCTCGCTGAAAAGGAGGTAGAGTTGATATGCTCCACTATAAGCGCGTATATTGAAAAATTTCTGTACAATTCCAGCCTAAGCACCAACGGATCCACTGTTTATCAAGTTTACCATCTCTTCCCTTTTAACTTCATCCAATAACTGCTTAGCTATGTCTAAAGCAGTAAGCCCATTAGAATCCCGCTGCATTGGACTAAACCTTTGAGAAGCTAGAAGGAGAGCACACACTCCTACATGCCCCCACCCCACTGCAACATGGAGTGCACTGCGCTTGCTGCTGCCTCTATCCTTGCTGCACCTACTATCATCTCCTCTTCCTCCTCCTGCTGTTCCCTCCTGCAACACCTTCAGGTGTTCCTGCTCTTGTTGCTCCAGCAGCCACTCAACAGCAGCCACGTGTCCCCTACTTGCCGCCCAGTACAAAGGCGTGGTGCCTGCATTATCCACGGGATCCAGGTCAGCCCCGTGCTGACTCAGCGCACGCATGGCGTCCACATGGCCAGCTGCAGCAGCACAGTGAAAAGGCGTTGCACCAGATGCATCCCTAGTGTTCACATCAACTAAAGACATAGCTGCAGACGCATCCCGGATTTTGAAATCAGCTGGAGGTAGTTCAGTGTCAAAATCACAAATCTCATCCGGTCTGGAAAGCTGAGCATTGGAATCTGTTTCGGCGTGAGTGTTGGTGCTTGTCTGAGTGCCGAGACTGGCTAGACCAGGTGCTGTGGAGCCAGCAGCGAGCAAATGAATCACTGCCACGTGCCCCCCTGCAGCTGCTTCATGGATCGGCTCCGAACCAGAAGAGTCCCGTGCCGTGGGATTGGCCCCGTGCTTCAGCAGCAACTCACAGACCGCCACGTGGCCATGCAGGCAGGCGGAATGCAGTGGAGTACGGCCGTTGCGCGTGCGTGCATTCACAAAGAAATGTGACTGGCGTTCGCCGTTCACCAATGGACAAATGGCCGAGCGTGTGTGACAAGACACTGCCATCAGTGATGCAGTTGGATAGGAATAGGATGCGAGAGGAGAATCCGGCGCGGAAATCGATGTGGGAGAAGCAGAGGTGCCTGAACCGCGCACACCTTCCTCGTTCTTTTCTCCCTCTCCACCTGGCGTTTCACCTGACGAACCCACATGCTTGTCCTCTCTTTCGGCAGCATCCAACAGCATGTCCACCACCTCCTCTGCCCCTGCTCGCGCTGCCAGGTGAAGCGCGTTCTCCCCGCACCTGTCCGCTGCCCGCCACGCGCTCGCGCGCCCGCGTTCGCCACTTCCCTCTGCACCTTTCCCCGCACTTTCTGCGCCAGAAATTTCCCTCGCGCTTTCTCCCGCGCGCATGTGCGCCAGAAGGAGCCTCGCGCACTCCGCGTGACCCCCCGCGGCCGCGCAGAGCAGCGGAGTGAAGCCGTTGGCCTTCCGCGCAGAGGGGAGCGCGCCCAGGGAGAGCAGCAGGCGGGCGATTTCCGCGTGCCCGTGCGCGCACGCCTCGTGAAGCGCGGACTTGCCAGAGGAATCGCGAGAGTTGACGAAATCCGACACCTCTGCTGTAACCGTGTTACCGTCCGAGGAACATGACGTTTCCGCTGTGAACATCGTCGATTCCTCTGTTATATCGGCGCCTCGGGGATTGCCGATGTCGAAAGTCGAGATTCCGAATCTGTGGTTGAGAATTTTCTGCACACGAGCCAGATCGCCGTCTCTTGCGGCGAGATGAAACGACCGCCAATCCAGCATTTCTGGCGAAGCACCAGTAATAGCACTCTCGGGAACTCGTGCTATAGAGATACTAGCGCTCGAAGCGGGTCCGGCGCTCGCGGCAGCGCAACGACCCTGCTTGTTTCGTCGCCGTCCCATAGTTGAGCTCTAGTGTACCAGGGTTGGTATTCCAAAGCGGCTCGATATGTGCTAGAGGAATCTACAAATATCTAGCAGTGAGTAGTAATTACTTGGTTCCGAGCCCTGACGCAAACTTCATCACACCCCCAGCATCTGGTGTGGATTCATTACCTCCTCTAATGAGTCATTCACTCTAAACAAGAGGTAAGCGAATGGTACGAGAAGCCTGATAAAAATCGTGACTGTTCTGGTTGACTTCGGTAAGCGAAAGTAGGTAATCGCTGTAGTTTGGCGAGGACTTGATTTGAAAAGGTTCGCATCATATCGAGATTACCGTGTGAAATCACTGTAACCTATCTCCACGAATTACTGTACATCAGGTTTTATTTCGCCACCAGCAAGCAACCTCATGCCCACAGGTGCTTTCGCTGGCAATCTCGCAGATCATCATCACACCACATGAGACACTCGCCCAGGAAACAATCCATCCAACCTCAACCACCCCGATAAAACAGGCGACTAGGTCATGCTGGTTGGGCTGCTGCTGGGCTGAGATGGTATTTTCTTCGGGGTCGCCGAAATTGGAGGTGGTGGGGCGAGAAATCCGAATTTCAACAGCATGCTGCCAGCCTGGCGACTGCCGGACCAGGCCCAGGTGGTTTGGTTGGCTGCCCGCACGAACGAGGCGCGATTGAAACATTGCGAAGCGCACATGTTGTCCACTTCACCAGGCGCACCCGCCTTTCCCCTTCCACACCTTGTCCCTTTTCCCACGTCCCGCCTCATCGCCTCCCTCCCTCCCCTACCGTCAAACTCTCTTCCTCCCTCTTCTCCCCCTCCTTTCCCCTCATTCTTCTCCCCCTTGCGCTTCCTCCCCCCATTCCTCTCCTCTTCAAGAAAACCATCAGCTTGCTCTCCTTATCCCTGCTTCTGCTCCTTTTCCCACCACAACTGCTAGTGAACGCTTCCCCACCCCACTACTCTAAGCGCGCTGAATCAAATAGCACCCATTGGCACTGCCTGTTGGTTATCCTACCCAGCGTTTCCATCGTGATTCCGTCTAGGACTCCTCTGACTCTAATTAACAGAATTCCTGTTAGTTTCCCGCTGCTGTATTCCCTGGTCCCGAGACCTTCGAGAAAGCTTCATCCCACTAACTGCTTCAGAGGTCTCTTCGTCGTCGAAATCGTCCGAAGTCGAGAGTCGCCACTGGCAGAGCTATCGTTCCCACCAGCAACCACTCCGAACTCCGCCCTCACAAAAGCTCCTCAACTTCTTGATCGCCACGCTCGTTGTCGCTATGACTCGGTTGCGGCGGCATCTCGCGCTGTCAATTGTCATAACCACTCTCGGTATTAATAACTTTGCTCTCTTTTTTTTTAACATTTTATTTTTATCTATCATTATTCATGATTCCTCGATTCAAGACACCTCAATACTCCCTGATTCGACTTCCCAGTCCCATTTTTTCACCGTGTTGTTTTCGCTTCGCGGTTTTCCCCGCAGCTGTTTCGCCTCGTTTTGTAACTATAGTAAATCATAACTGCCCTTCTGTTCCCGTCTTTCCAGTCTGTTACTTCGCACGTAACTCTTACCCGTCCTCTTTGGGAAGCGCCTTGAAAAAAACAATGCTTTTCACGGCTTTTAAATAAAAGAGTTACCCCTATATTAAATTTTCATAAAGGTCGTTCCTTTCATTACGATTTCCGAATCTCTGTTGAGATGAGGAACTAGCGTAGCGAAATAGCAGCTTCGCCAAATATAGCCATCCCTTCCGATCCATGCAGCCGGCTCCTAACTGGCCCACCAGGCTTGCTCCTCCCGCTTCGCCTTTCCCCTCTCTTCAACCACGCAGTCGCCGCGTCGCTATGGGGATCCGCTAGCGCAATTGACGCCACCGCCGCCGCCACCTCGCAAAAATGGCCGAAAATAGTAGGTCAGTGCCCTCCCTTGCTTTCCGTGATTGTAAATTTGACTTGAGATAATGTCCTCTCAAAACAAGGTTATATCAAATATTAGTGGTCAATGCCCTCCCTTGCTCTCCAAACGAGCGCGTCACGCGTTTCTCGCCGTCCTCCCTTCGCACATTCGCTCTCCACCTCGCCGCCGCCACCCCCGTCGCCTTTGCTTGCCGCGCGATACGGTGCTTCCTCCGCGTGCATTGCGTTTCCGAGTCGCTCCTAAAGCCATGCGCCTCTTTTCCTTTCACCCTCCTCTCTCCTCTCTCTTTAACTCTCTCCCTTTCCCCTCTTCCCTCCCTCCCCACCCCACCCCCCTCTCCTATGCCCCCTCCCTCGCCTTCCCCCTCCCATCCGCGCTACAGTGCACTCCGAGTCTCCTCTATGGCCGTGCCTTCGGGTCTACCAAGGAATGATAGGCGTCGCGACCATCTCCTCGTTAAAGTCACTGTGAGTACAGTCACATCACCGCCCTTCATATTGTAACCCCCCAACTCCCGTCGCCTTTCTAACAGCTTTTAACTCGTAAGCACCTTCTCGCCATAGTCACTATTCCAATCCTCCCACTCCTCTCATCTCCTCTTCCCCCACCTTGATCCGCCTTCGTCTCCCAACCTCACATTCCTCTCTCTCCTCTCCCTTTCTTTTCTCTCCCCCTCTCCTCCACACCCTTTCCGGCCCCACCTTTCCCAAATCAGATCAGGCCAAGACTCTGTTTCTTACTCCCTAGTAATCTCGGGAACCCCTTCCCCCCCTACACACTCCAGCCTCGTTATAGGCAACCCCTGTAACCCTCTCGTGTCACCAAAACACTTTCTCACTATGGAAGGCGCCTGGGTAGCCTGGTCCTACAAGAACCAGCCCGCCTGGATGTTACAGGGCAGGGTTACTACCCCCGCATTGGTCCGCGCTGTGCTGTCCTATGGCCGATCGTACGGTGGAGAATTGTCTGATCTACATGTGGCGTTTTCCGGCAATCAGACTCTTGCGGGGAGAATGAAGTTTGTGGGGATGTCAACTGTGGCTTCAGTATTGCCGCCTACACCCGTTACTCGACCTCTTGCACAATTTGGCGTTCGACCAGAAGTTTCTGTGCCTTCTGCGGTTTCTGGTGCACGAGACATGCGGTATCCTGGATCTGGGCGGCACACAGCTAGCAGACAAGGACGGCCACTGGGTGTGGGATTAAGAGGCGAAGAAGGAGCATGGAGGTGAAGCAGCTTTGCATGGATGGGAAAGCATACCGTAGCATGATGTGCATTGAATTCAAATCTAGGCACATGTTATGGATGATGCACAAACAAGAGGTGGTGTTCACACTCTTGGGGACGATCAGCAAGATGGGCGTCCTTCAGCTAGTTTAGCCGTTACAGGTGATGTCTGCCTTGCCTTAACCAATTTTTTCATTAATTTTTTATGTTTGCCTTGCCTTACCCGCACGGGCAGCAACCTACCCAGCTAGAATCTGTGACAGCTAGTTCGGGCATGGTACCAGACAGAAATTGGAGTGAGAAAGAACCTGTAGGGAAATTCCCAAGCGTGCGAGCGAGGACTTCCCCATCCCAGACTTCTGCATTGGTTTTCTCGGTGCCATATGGCCAGCCAACCAACAAATCTACATGTAGGCTTACACTGTAAAAACTCATCACAAGGTACTAAGAAATCGTTTCCGTATATCCATGAATCCCCTCTATTGAGCTGCTGATCCTGCAGCTGCTGCCCCTGCCTCTTCCGCCTCTTTTGGCACACCCAGGAAGATATTTCCGGGCAGTGTGACAGGGTTTTTGAGCTCCACAACCACTTTTTTCCAGTCTGGGCGGCGGTAGTATCCATACTGGCTCCGTTTCTTCTTGCCCTCGTAATTCATTGTGTGTACCCGGGACACTTCAAGGTTATATACTGTCTCTAGGAAACGTCTTATTTCCACCTACACAATAAAAAAGAGGGAAAGAGAGGGAATGTAACAGATGGATATGGGAGAGAGTGAGAGGGGGAAGAGGAGAATGTGAGGAGGGGGATTGCGAGCGGCAGGGTTGGAGGAGAGATGGGGATTGGAGGAGGGATTGAAGGGGGATGATGGTGCTGGCGGGTTGAAGGGGAGTAAAGGCGGAGGGATTAAGTCATGGTGGTTCAATTGACGTAAGTCAGCGAGAGAGGTGAGAGAGGATAGGCGGGAGATGAGGGAAAGACAGTGAGTGAGAGAGAGAGAGAGAGAGAGAGAGAGAGAGAGAGAGAGAGAGAGAGAGAGAGAGAGAGAGAGAGAGAGAGAGAGAGAGAGAGAGAGAGAGAGAGAGAGAGAGAGAGAGAGAGAGAGAGAGAGAGAGAGAGAGAGAGGGGGGGTGAGAAAAGAGTTGCGAGAGGTGAGAGACAGTGTATATTGTCCTGAACCTGAATAACCCCTGCCTTATAAAGTTTCGTACAATATAAGCTCCCAGAATCAACAACCGGCACGCTATGATACGCATAAATCTATCAACTCAGCTTACCTTATTGACGGATGGTATGGTTCTAAAGACGACCTCCTTAATGTTCTCCAGCGACTCGGGCCGCACGATGCGGAGGGGAATGTTAGCGAAGTGGATGAGTCGGCCCATAGCGAGGATGCTGAGGATGATACGGAGGAGACGGAGGATGCGAAGTGGACGAGTGCACGGGTTGACGCGCTGACACGTGGATGTGTTGAAGCGTTGACGCGTGGACGGAGGGTAAAAGGACTGGCGGAGGGTGACGGACGAGGTGAGAAGGTGTGGAATGTGGTTGTGTGCGCTAGCGGGTGCTGACTAAGGAACGAATCGTGACTTGAGGCGTTGAGCGGGACGGCCCGCGCTCGAGCGAGAGGAAAGCGCGGAATGAATGGGTGGAACGTACGAACGCGATGCGGACGACGAGGCTTGGAGCACGAGCGCAACGGACGGCAGACGCGCTACGCCGGAAAGACGGGGATGATTTTTAGCGACACTCAATCAGACGACACGAGCAGATGAAGAAATCGGGATCGCGCGGATCCGAGACGTGGCGCGGAGATACCGCTGTGGTTGACAGCGATAGGTTCCCAACAGCGCCGCCACGTCTCGCGGCACCAAACAAACACTCAACAACGAGCTCACGTGCTATCCCAAATCGCGACACGTAGCGACCTATGGTATGCCTAGGTTTCACCGCGACGCCTTCGAGGCACGCCCCACAATACCTCGGCTCCTAGGGTCCTCTTGCTTTGCAAGATGGTAAGGTTTCGTGTAGTATGCTCGGTGGAGCTGGATTCCCAATGGATTCGTTGCGATGTAGAGAGATGGGAAAAAATCTCCTACACACGGCGCCTCGTTTCACATCTACGGAACGAGTATAGAATCTCAGCGACATGTTCGTACCTCGTTGCCCTACAAAAAAACAGATCATTTTTATTCCCACCTAACACTACCTACCTTACATGGACTAGCGTACATCTAAGCATTTTCACACTTTCTTAAACATTTGAATCCTTCCTCTTCATAGTCGGCACGCGATATCCAGAAGTCGGGCTTGTCCTGCAAACAAAATCATAGGGCGAGTACAATTTTACATGAGACCCCATATATCCAATCTCATCCACAGCACATCTTAGTCATGTGAAAAAATACAAAAATAGCAGAACACATACCTTCATGATATCAGCAAGCACAGCACCCCCTAAAAAGACAAGGTGCTTGCGATTCGGGGGGTCTTCGATCCTTAGCTTGAATTTCTGCTTACATAGGGGTTGTTGGAAAGTGTAAGAGGACATTTACAATGAAGGTGTACATGATTGTACAAATGTGCGTGCAGGTCGAAAATCGATTCACTTCGAAAAGGAAATAAAATAACAGAAAACTCACCTTGAGTCCGTCCTTATTGCCCTTCAACACATGCTTCAGGTAGCGGTCCCTCACTTCCCTCTCCAGTCGAGTGGGCAGGCCGGGAAACATGGTAGAGCCGCCACACAGCATGATGTGCTGGTATAGCTGGTGGTGGTGGTGGCGTGTGGAGGGAGAAGACAAGAATGGTTGAGCTGACGTGCTAGCACAATTAATGGTGGTCTATGTCCGTTTGAGCCGACAACCTAAATGGTTCTGAAGAGATTATTACATCAGCCTACAAACAGGAGTGAAACGGGTACACTCAAACGATGGACTGTGTCCATGCATTGAATGGTTCTGAAGAGATGAGATGAGCACATCAGCCTACAATCAGCCTTTAGTTACTCAATCCGTGCAGGAGGAAAGAAGTGTCAAACACTTGCGCTCAAGCGATGGTCTATGTCCATGCATTGAATGGTTCTGAAGAGATGAGATGAGCACATCAACCTACAATCAGCCATCAGTTACTCAATCCGTGCAGGAGGAAAGAAGTGTCAAACACGTACGCTCAAGCGATGGTCTATGTCCATGTCTTGAATGGTTCTGAAGATCACATCGGCCAATCCTAGCCCTTCATTGTCAATCAGCTCCTGTAACCACCATGACATGCCATGCCATGCCATGCCATGCCATGCGTTGCACACAACAACACCCATACACACATGCACGCCATATGAGTCCATGCATCCACCATACAACACACCATGCAGGAAACAAAGAAGGAAATGTACCATGCGCAAATGATTGACATACGCATAAGTTTTGAAAATCTTGAAGGCTCTCATCAGAGCATGCTATTGATGTATAGACACGAGGTGACTTTTGAGTCGACTCAAAAGACACGCGTCGTTCTTTTGCACGATGACAACAGACACCACTTCTCAGGCAAAATGCACGAGCATTCGAGAGACTTCGAATTTTGACAAGAGAGTCAGCAGCGAGCGGGAAGGTTGAAGTGGGCTGCTAGGAAGCTTCCAAAAACGGTAAATGGCACAAGAGAGGGAGAGGAGGGAGGAGACGAGAGGAGAGGAAAGCATACAGGGGAGAAGAGGGCTTCTGGTGCTTGGAACCGCTCTGCACCGATTCGAATCGTTCGACCGTCAGGCAGCTGAGGATGAGAGAGGAAGGGAGAGAGGTGAGGAAAGAGTTGGGGGCGGGGGGGGGGGGGGGGGGGGGGGGGGAAGGGATCGGAGCACTTTTTATATAAGAGCAAAAGGAGAGAGATGGATCGAGAGAATGGTGTGTGCAGCACGTGTGTGTGAGCCCCTGTGTGCGTGTGTGTGTGTGTGTCAAAGCAAGATAAATGCCTAATATGCCCACTCACAGTGAACTGCTTCACAAGCACTGTGGTGTCCTCTGCCAGTTGCATCTCTCTCTTGTAATCACAGCTGATGGGCAGGCAGAAGGAGGTATCAGAGAAGGCAGCAGCGCAAAAGGGAGATTTGAAGATCAGAATGATACAAGTGAGACACTCGCATCGTTTGGTGCATTGCTGCACCTTGCATCCCTTGCTGCACTTGCTGGTGGTGATGGTGGTGGCCGCGGCAGCGGCGGCAGTGGTGGTGGTGCTGCTGCTGCTGCTGCTGCTGACGCTAGGCTTTGGAAAAGACTGTGCACACAGAGTTTGGTGTTGAAAGTGATGCCGATTCAGCAGCAGATACACTCGCTTTTTCATTCGTTCAGTCACTCACTCACTCCCTCACTCACTCACTCCCTCCCTCACTCACTCCCTCCCTCACTCACTCACGCACTCACTCACTGACCTCACGAAGCAGAGCTGTTCCTTTATGGCCCTTGCAGCTTCGAAGTCAGACACCTTGCTGAAGGGGTAGCTGGAGAGGAAGGGAGAGAGGAGAGGAGAAGTGAGAGGGAAACGGAGAGGGAGGAGTAGGTAGGAGCATAAAGAAGAGTTGAGCAGCACTAAGGGAAGAGTTGAGCGCGGTTTCTTGACGGTCGTTGCTTCTTCAAAGTCAGACACCTTGCTGAAGGGGTAGCTGGAAAGGAAGGGAGAGAGGAGAGGAGAAGTGAGAGGGAAACGGAGAGGGAGGAGTAGGTAGGAGCATAAGGAAGAGTTGAGCAGCACTAAGGGAAGAGTTGAGCGCGGTTTCTTGACGGTCGTTGCTTCTTCAAAGTCAGACACCTTGCTGAAGGGGTAGCTGGAGAGGAAGGGAGAGAGGAGAGGAGAAGTGAGAGGGAAACGGAGAGGGAGGAGTAGGTAGGAGCATAGGGAAGAGTTGAGCAGCACTAAGGGAAGCAGCGCTGTTTCTTGACGGTTGTTGCTTCTTCGAAGTCAGACACCTTGCTGAAGGGGTAGCTGGAGCGAGGAAGGGAGAGAGGGGTAGTCAAAGTCAAACTCCTTTTGAGAATTCTCAAAAGTGATTTCAAAGTCAAACTCCTTTTGAGAATTCTCAAAAGTGATTTCAAAGTCAAACTCCTTTTGAGAATTCTCAAAAGTGATTTCAAAGTCAGACACCCTTTGAGAATTCTCAAATGTGATTTCAAAGTCAGACACCTTTTGAGAATTCTCATTAGTGATTTCAAAGTCAGACACCTTTTGAGAATCCTCAAAAGTGATTTCAAAGTCAGACACCTTTTGAGAATTCTCTAAAGTGATTTCAAAGTCAGACACCTTTTGAGAATTCTCAGAAGTGATTTCAAAGTCAGACACCTTGCTGGAGGGGTAGCTGGAGCGAGGAAGGGGGAAGGAAAGGGGAGAAGAAGAGTGGCAGAGATGGAGAGGGAGGAGTGTGAACGTAGAGAAGAGTTGAGCAGCAGTAAGGGAAGCAGCGCTGCTCCTGGGAGCCTCGAAGTCCGACTCCTTGCTGAAGGGGTAGCTGGTGAGAGAAGGGGGTAGCTGGTGAGAGAAGGGGGTAGCTGGTGAGAGAAGGGGGTAGCTGGTGAGAGAAGGGTTGACTTTTGAGTCGACTCAAAAGTCAACTCGCTGCTCCTGGGAGCCTCGAAGTCCGACTCCTTGCTGAAGGGGTAGCTGGTGAGAGAAGGGGGTAGCTGGTGAGAGAAGGGGGTAGCTGGTGAGAGAAGGGTCGACTTTTGAGTCGACTCAAAAGTCAACTCGCTGCTCCTGGGAGCCTCGAAGTCCGACACCTTGCTGAAGGGGTAGCTGGTGAGAGAAGGGGGTGCGAGGTAGGTAGGGAACAGAAGAGTGGAATCAACAATACAATAGAATCCAAGTCAATTATATGAATACAGTATGAAGACTGTAATGTATATACAAATGAGCACATACCTGCGTCGGATCATGAGATCGATGAGGTGAGATGGGATTTGCTTGCCGGCTATGCTTATCCTCATTATGAGCCGACTCAACAGTACAAAAGAGTTGAAGAGAAAAATACAGAAACGTATACACGAATGGAACGTACCCGCGGCGCATCATGAGATCGATGAGGTGAGACGTGATTTGCCTGCCGGCTATGCTGATCCGCTTCGTAAGATGTGGGTACGCAAAGCCCTCCACCACTGGCACCTGGAGGGAAGCCCAAGGGGGGAGGGGGATTGGGGGGGTCACGGGTGGGAGGAAATTCCAGAGACAGACGAATCTGCCTGCCTGCTATGCTGATCCGCTTTGTGTGGTGTGGGTGACTTTTGAGTCGACTCAAAAGTCACCTAATTCCAGAGACAGACGAATCTGCCTGCCTGCTATGCTGATCCGCTTTGTGTGGTGTGGGTATGCAAAGCCTTCAACCGCAGGGTCTTGGGGAAAAGCACACAGCAGGGGAAGAGGGAAAGAAGGGACAAGAAGGAGAATGGAAAGAGGGAGTATGAGAAGGAGGAGGTCTTGGGTTGGGAGAACAAGGGAAGGAGAAGACAAGAGGTACGATGCAAGATGCAAGAGGAGAACAGCAGCGTGCAGTGAAAAAGATGCAAGGGGAGGAGTGGTGCTTACTGCATGAGTGGCGCTGAAGGGTTTTCTTGAGAATTCTCAAAAAACCCTTTTGAGAATTCTGAAGGGTTTTCTTGAGAATTCTCAAAAAACCCTTTTGAGAATTCTGAAGGGTTTTCTTGAGAATTCTCAGAAAACCCTTTTGAGAATTCTGAAGGGTTTTCTTGAGAATTCTCAAAAAACCCTTTTGAGAATTCTGAAGGGTTTTCTTGAGAATTCTCAAAAAACCCTTTTGAGAATTCTGAAGGGTTTTCTTGAGAATTCTCAAAAAACCCTTTTGAGAATTCTGAAGGGTTTTCTTGAGAATTCTCAAAAAACCCTTTTGAGAATTCTGAAGGGTTTTCTTGAGAATTCTCAGAAAACCCTTTTGAGAATTCTGAAGGGTTTTCTTGAGAATTCTCAAAAAACCCTTCTGAGAATTCTGAAGGGTTTTCTTGAGAATTCTTAAAAAACCCTTCTGAGAATTCTGAAGGGTTTTCTTGAGAATTCTCAAAAAACCCTTCAGCATCGGGGAGTGGTGCTTAGTGCATGAGTGGCGCTCTCCCCAGAGTCCACTACAAGCCCTGTCATAACGATTCCGAAAGCACCTCAGAACAAGAGGCGCATGACTTTTGAGTCGACTCAAAAGGCACCCCTTCCCCAAACCAAGATGCAAGGGGGGGAGTGGTGCTTACTGCATGAGTGGCGCTCTCCCCAGAGTCCACCACAAGCCCTGTCAAAATGCCTGAGGGAGAGATGGAAACGGAGATGGATGGAGAGAGAAGGGGTGGGTGAGGGAGAGGGGGAAGGGCGTATCTGATGCAGTGTGTTCAGAACACAAATCAGACAGCACAAATGCAACAATATATCAAGTAGGAAAACAGCAGTATTTGGTGAATGTAGCAGCATTCCGCGAAAGCAGCAGGACCCAGAGGCACTAAGCAGCAGCAATCATCAGCACCGAACAGCACCCAGCAGCACACCTTGAGCATAGAGTGGCAGCACTGCTTGCAGCTGAATGAAGAGCGAGTCGAAATTGTACTTTTCAAACATCATTTGGAGCTGCAGTGGGGAAATAAAGGGCGGATAGAGGGGTACAGGGGGGCCTTAGGGGGGCGTGAGGTGGATGAAGAGCGAGTCGAAATTGTACTTTCCAAACATCATTTGGAGCTGCAGTGGGGAAATAAAGGGCGGATAGAGGGGTACAGGGGGGCCTTAGGGGGGCGTGAGGTGGATGAAGAGCGAGTCGAAATTGTACTTTCCAAACATCATTTGGAGCTGCAGTGGGGAAATAAAGGGCGGATAGAGGGGTACAGGGGGGCCTTAGGGGGGCGTGAGGTGGATGAAGAGCGAGTCGAAATTGTACTTTTCAAACATCATTTGGAGCTGCAGTGGGGAAATAAAGGGCGGATAGAGGGGTACAGGGGGGCCTTAGGGGGGCGTGAGGTGGACGAAGAGGGAGTCGAAATTGTAGTTTCCAAACATCACATGGAGCTGCAGTGGGGAAATAAAGGGCGGATAGAGGGGTACAGGGGGGCCTTAGGGGGGCGTGAGGTGGATGAAGAGCGAGTCGAAATTGTACTTTTCAAACATCATCTGGAGTGCGGAGCAAAGAGGTGGCAGCATGGGGAAAGGAGGGTGGATAGAGGACCGGATAGAGGGGCGGATAGAGGAACGGATAGAGGGGCGGATAGAGGAACGGATAGAGGAGTAGAGAGCAGACTCAAGGAAGGGTTATAATATGTAAATGAAACGGCTGCCAAAGCTGTAGCGCTCAAACAGCATATGCAGCTGCGGTGCTGAAGGAAAAATGAGGCGGAAAGAGGGGAGGAAGGGATGGAAGGCCCTCACCATGCGTTGGCGGTTCTTGGTGGGGTTCAACGGCGGGTCAGTGAGCAGGATTTTGCTCTCAGAAGGATCGATCTTGAGAGCAGTGTTGAAGGTGTAGTTCCACACGTGCCCCATGTCGTCCCACCCACCGTGAGTCCGAGAGACTCACTCACTCACCCCTTGATGCACTCACCATGCGCTGGCGGTTCTTGGTGGGGTTCAAAGGCGGGTCTGTAAGCAGAATCTTGCTCTCAGAAGGATCGATCTTGAGAGCAGTGTTGAATGTGTAGTCCCACACGTGCTCCATGTCGTCCCTCCCTCCCACCCACCATGCATCAAAGTGACTGATGAGGCTCATACCATGCGTTGACGGTTCTTGGTGGGGTTCAAAGGCGGGTCTGTAAGCAAAATCTTGCTCTCAGAAGGATCGATCTTGAGAGCAGTGTTGAAGGTGTAGTCCCACACGTGCCCCATGTCGTCCCACCGCTGCACCACGCCGTTGTGGATGGGGTAGGTCAGCTCCACGCGCTGCCCTCCCTGCTGCTGCTCCATGCACTGCGAACCGACCAGGATGCTCTGCAGAGCACAGCCGAGAAGGGTTGGATAGGAATGAAAGAGGAGGGCATGAGGTGCCTTGAGGGGTTCTTGTTGTGGATGGGGTAGGTCACCTCCACACTTTGCCCGCCCTGCTGCTTCTCCATGCACTGTGAACCCACCAGAATGCTCTGCAGAGTCAAGTAGGATTGGTAATAGGGTCGGTGGTAGGTAGGGTTGGCAGGGCATGGGATGGGATTGAATGGAACATGATGCAGTACGAAGTAACATGATGCACGATAGTTAAGCGAGCTTACAGGGACGACTTTTGGGGCGCCTCAAAACATGATGCACGATGGTTCAGCGAGCTTACAGGGGGTGCTTGGCCTTGGGAGGTTTCGTCCAGGCGGACGAGGCGTCGCCCGACGACATTGGGAATGACGGCGACGGGGAAATTGTCGCCTGCGAACCCGCACTTGATGGACTGCGACAGACGGTCGCACGGTGATGAGCAAGTGAGCGAAGGAATCGTGTTTATCGGCAACTTGAATGGTTGCCAGACTTAGCGCGAAGAATTAATTAGGAACGAGGAGAGTGGTTAGGAATATTGCAAAGCGAGGCGAATGTTACGCTACGCGTCGGGACGTATCAAATGAACCGCCTTACCGCGCTGCCGTTATCGCAAACGACTATTTTTCGTCTGTCGTCCATGTGGAAAAGAGTGCAGCGGAGAAGCAGCGAATAAGGGAAGGCGCGCGCTGAAGGAATCTAGAAGTCTAGCGAGATTGGAATGAGCGAGTGCCTGTGCCGTCTGTGCGAATGAAAGCAAATTCCGCAAAATGCATTTTATGCTTCCTGCAACCTGCGAGTATGTACCAACCAGTACCCTTCTTTCCCAGGAGTTCCTGGTGTCACTGCGATCAAGCAGTCACATCAGTGGGGCTCAATAATGGAATTTTGTCAGGAATAATGCATGATGTAATAAATTTCAGGCATTTGAGATATCTTAAGAGTATTATAGTGTGTGTACATTTTTATTCACATGCATTGTCTGAGTGAATGTATAAAACAGTTGCACATCAAAATGTATTGGAGGGTGCTGAAACGGGAATGCCAGCCAGCCCCAGCTCTTCTTCGTGCACTGCTTCCGCGGCAATTGCTTATAGCGAAGCCTGACGCAAAGCCAAACAGGAAAGGAATTTGCCTTGCCGACTTGACCAACGACCAAAAGTCGAGGGGCTACCGTACTGGAAACCCTATAAACTTATATGAGCCCTACAGAGCCGCTTCTTTCTCCTTTCCAGGACATCTCAAAACGAAACGTTTCCACGGCCTTGGGAATTCCGATCTCATTATTTGCTCGTGCATACACCTTGCCTCGCTAGCTCTCATGTCACAGCAGACATGCCACGACAGCCATCGATCATGTCGCCTCGCCTGTCGGTAGTTTCGAGGGACCCTTCCGGGCGACGCACGGAGGTTCTTGCCGCGACCAATTTACTCTCGCTCGAGATGGCTTCCTTGAGTTTGGAGTCTCATCCATCACGAGTTTTTACGTTCAAAGCCGTTTTCGCCGCTTCTTATCTCCCGCAAACTAAATCAGCTGGTCCGAAACAGACGATTCATTATATACCAAGAGGTCTATTCTCAGCAGACTACTTCTTCTCTTCTTACAAATAGCTGGAACCATGGCTGCTGAATCAGCGACGCGCTCGGCAGTCGAGGCACCAAGCGAGAGTACGACTAATACTACTATTACTACTGTTTCGAGTAGTAACGGCGTGGAGCACAGGGAAGAATGGTTCACCAACTCTCGCGGAATGAAGTTAATGTCCGCGTCATGGGTACCGGCGAACCGACCGTTGAAAGCGCTCATCCTCCTCCTTCACGGTACATTTGAGTCGACGCTCGGAAGTCAACCGCCTATTGAAATCACTCATCTCTTCCTTCCAGAGCATCCACCTTCACAGTACATCCCAGTTTAGATAGGGAGAACAGTGGTTGGTAATGATAGGCCCGGCGTTAACCTCGTTATTCTGCCAGGACCGCATTCTGTACATATTCTGCTTATTTCCGTTGTTTCAAGCCTTTCCTTTTGTTTATTCCCTCGCGATGTTTTTTTCCTTCTCTTCCCGTTCATTTCGTGGCAGGATATGGCTTCGATTGCACCACTTACTTCCAAGGTACAGTACACTGCTTCCCCGCCCTGCGCCTCTTCCCCGCCCTGCGCCTCTTCCCACGTTCTGTGTCCATCGCTTTCGTATCCCTGCTTTCCACCTCACCCTCCCTCCTCTTTTCCTCCCCCGTTTCCTCCCCCCTTCCTCCTTTCTCCTCCCCCCCCCCAACCCTCCCTTCCTTTGCTCCTCTCCTCCCTGCTCTTCCTCCTCCCCGTCGGTTCTCCTTTCCTGCAGCCACTGCAGAGCGGCTGGCATCAGAGGGGTACGGCGTTTATGGATTCGACTTTGAGGGGCATGGCAGGTATAGCGTGCTTTGTAGGCACTTTCCAGCTACTGTCCAGGTTCTTGCATAGATGACAGCGCCGCACTCTGTGGTCTCACTCTCATGCGCTCCCGGTCACAGCAGCGGTCCTCATTTCATTTCATCCTCCCTGTACACAATTCCCTGTTCCGCAGATCTGACGGGCTCAGTGTGTTCATTCCTGACTTCAACACCCTAGTCGACGACAGCATTGCATACTTTGCTCCCATACGGGGTGCGTATGGGAAGGGGGGGAGAAAAGTGGGGAGGGAGGGTGGAGGAAAGGAGGGGGGGGATGGCAATTCGTCCTTCTCCTCTCTTTTCGGCTTCTCTTCTTGTGCTCTGCTCCCCTTCTATCCACCATTCCGCACCTCCAATCCTCCTCCTCCTCCCTGTCCCTCACCTGCCCTAACTCCTCGCTCTGCGGTCTCCCCTCCTCTTCCCCTCCGCTTTTTATTCTTTTTTTCTTCCCCAGACCGACCGGAGCACCAGATCATACCCAAGTTCATGTGTGGGGAATCAATGGGCGGGGCGGTGGCGATTTGCATTCACCGCAAGCAGCCTGACCAATGGGATGGCGCCATTTTCATGGCCCCCATGTGCAAGGTACAAATGAGCCGTGTGGAAGGGATTTGTTCTTTAGGCGCCTCAAAAGTCTGCAAGGTATAGTTCTTGCATGTGGAGGAGGGGAAAGCATAGCGCTCTTGGGCCCCCCATCCATCATGCCCCCCTCAATGCCCTCATGGGCGGGGCAGTGGCGCTGTGCATTTACCGCAAGCAACCCGACCAATGGGATGGCGCCATTTTCATGGCTCCCATATGCAAGGAACGCTTCTAGCATGTAGCATGTAGCGTGTAGACTCCGCTTGAGGCTTGTGCGGCACCTGAAGAATCTAGTTTAGAGTGGAATCCAGTTGCCTGCCAATGCCATTCTGTGGCTAATGAAGGGCCTGGTATAAGTGCTGCCTTGTGAACTCCTCCAGAGTCCTCCTTGTTTCCCTGTTCACATGCTCCCTTCCGTACCTTCCTCACCAGATATCAGCCAAGGTGCAGCCGCCAGCCATCCTGGTGAGGCTGTTGAAGGGCCTGGCGTATGTGATACCCACGTGGCAGATAGTGCCCTCTGCTGACATCGTCACCTCCGCGATTCGCTGCCCAGAAAAGCTTAAGAAGGTAAGATCAGGAATTTCTTAATTTTCTCGTAAAATTTGCAGGGTAATTTTCCATACCACCCGGCTGGTAGTGCCCTCTGCTGACATCGTCACCTCCGCCATTCGCTGCCTGGAGAAGCTTAAGAAGGTGAGATGGGGTAGTGTTGAGAATTCTCCGAAATTTCCAGGGTACTTCTGAGGATAATTGAATATGCCCTGCAGATAGTGCCCTCTCCTGACATTATCACCTCCTCCATTCGCTGCTCACAGAAGCTAGAAAGGGCGAGATGCTTTGTTAAAAGGTGAGATACGGTATTAAAGGGTGGGATGTGTTTCCTCCAAATAGAGGTTGAGATACAAATAGAGGTTGAGATACTATTTCTTGGCTTCACGAGGTTTGTCAACGCACTTCTTTTCTCGTCTCCGCGCCTCCTCCTCCCTTCTTTTCCTCTTTCCCAGCTTTCTTGGAGGCGACTCATGAGCATACTCCTTCCCTATTGCCCACGCCCATTTCTTGCTCCCAACCCCTCTCCTTACCCCCTCCCCTCACCGCCCCACGACAGATAGCAGCGAGCCCATACACCTACCGCGCTCGCCCGCGCATGAGAACAGCCCTCACCATGCTGCACGCCAGTCAAAGACTCAGAGGCCTCCCTGTCCCTCCCCTTCCCCACCCACTCCCCTCCCCCACGGCAGATAGCAGCCAGCCCATACACCTACCGCGCTCGCCCGCGCATGAGAACAGCCCTCACCATGCTGCACGCCAGTCAAAGACTCAGAGGCCTCCCTGTCCCTCCCCTTCCCCACCCACTCCCCTCCCCCACGGCAGATAGCAGCCAGCCCATACACCTACCGCGCTCGCCCGCGCATGAGAACAGCCCTCACCATGCTGCACGCCAGTCAAAGACTCAGAGGCCTCCCTGTCCCTCCCCTTCCCCACCCACTCCCCTCCCCCACGGCAGATAGCAGCCAGCCCATACACCTACCGCGCTCGCCCGCGCATGAGAACAGCCCTCACCATGCTGCACGCCAGTCAAAGACTCAGAGGCCTCCCTGTCCCTCCCCTTCCCCACCCACTCCCCTCCCCCACGGCAGATAGCAGCCAGCCCATACACCTACCGCGCTCGCCCGCGCATGAGAACAGCCCTCACCATGCTGCACGCCAGTCAAAGACTCAGAGGCCTCCCTGTCCCTCCCCTTCCCCACCCACTCCCCTCCCCCACGGCAGATAGCAGCCAGCCCATACACCTACCGCGCTCGCCCGCGCATGAGAACAGCCCTCACCATGCTGCACGCCAGTCAAAGACTCAGAGGCCTCCCTGTCCCTCCCCTTCCCCACCCACTCCCCTCCCCCACGGCAGATAGCAGCCAGCCCATACACCTACCGCGCTCGCCCGCGCATGAGAACAGCCCTCACCATGCTGCACGCCAGTCAAAGACTCAGAGGCCTCCCTGTCCCTCCCCTTCCCCACCCACTCCCCTCCCCCACGGCAGATAGCAGCCAGCCCATACACCTACCGCGCTCGCCCGCGCATGAGAACAGCCCTCACCATGCTGCACGCCAGCCAAGAAGCAGAGGCTTTCCTCCCCTCCATCTCCCTGCCCTTCCTGCTGCTCCACGGGGACGCTGACATAGTCACAGAGCTGGACGGCAGCCAGGCGCTGTATGATAGAGCACGGAGTGAGGACAAGACGTTGAAGGTGTATGAGGGCGCGTGGCACCTGCTGACTGAAGGGGAGCCTGAGGAAACTGCTGAGGCGGTTCTGAGGGATATGATTGGCTGGCTGGACGAGAGAAGTCAACGCAAGGCAGGCGAGTAATCTAGGGAATTTTTTCTCTCCATAGGGATTTCTTCTCCCTGCCCCTGCTGCTCCACGGGGATGCCAACACAGTCACTGAGCTGGGAGGCAGCGGGGTGTATGATAGAGCACGGAGTGAGGACAAGACGTTCAAGGTGTATGAGGGCGCGTGGCACCTGCTGACTGAAGGGGAGCCTGAGGAAACTGCTGAGGCGGTTCTGAGGGATATGATTGGCTGGCTGGACGAGAGAAGTCAACGCAAGTCAAGCGAGTAGATGTCGGTTTTGCAGATGATGTAGACCAGGTTTCGGGTTCTGAATTTGAGACGTCTCAAAACATGTAGACCGGGTTTCGGGTTCTGAATTTGAGACTTCTCAAAACATGTAGACCGGGTTTCGGGTTCTGAATTTACCGGTTTAGGGAGGGAATGGTGGTACCGTATGATCAGGCAAGGAGTGAGGACAAGATGTTCAAGGTGTATGAGGGTGCGGGGCACCTGCTGACTGAGGGGGGGCCTCAGGAGAGTGCTGAGGCGGTGCTGAGGGATATGATTGGCTGGCTGGATGCGAGAATCAAGTCAAGTACGGTAGGTAAATAGGGCTCCGCCCCATGAATAGAAATGGTCGATGGTTCACGGTTCCACGATTGTCCTAGTGTTGATATTTCAACTCTTGCAAAAAGAATTACCGTACTAGAAGTAACAACAGACAATGTTCATGATTTCCAGTCCCAAACAGACATTTTCCCAAGTTACTATCCAAAGCAACCATTTTCTTTTTAGGAGCACAAGAGATGGTTTCGAAGTTAGAACATCAATGTTTTACCAAAATATCCAGCAGTCAATCTCCCTGCTGATAGGCAGGCAATGTTCTTAGCTGCTCAAAGCAGCCCCTGATGCCCGAACTGGCCAGTTAGAACAGACCTTGATTGTCTGAGGCCAGTAGCCCAGACACCCAAGTTGGGACATACACTGGAAAAAAAACCCCAGCAGAGGAAGAACTCCCCCACGTTCACAGGCGAGCACATTGGCTCCAACACCACGCAGCACCACGCAGCAACCCCATTCGACAGATCTGTTCTGGTTAGAACAGTCCATGATTGTCTGAGACGAGTAGCCCGGACACACATGTGGGGAAGTAAACGGGGAAGACGCCCCAGCAGAGGAAGAACTCCCCCACGTTCATAGGCGAGCCCAGCGGCTCCGATACAAGCCCCTCCCAAGCCGCACCAGCACCTTCTGAGCCCCCACCCCATGCCCTCCTGTCTGTCAAAACAGCCCTTGGTTGTCAGAGACCAGTAAACCAGAGACCCAGGTGGCGAAGTACACAGGAAAAACTCCCCAGCAGAGGAAGAATTCCCCCACGTTCACACAGGCGAGCACATTGGATCCAGCACCAGCCTCCCCTCCTGCGCTGTCTCCCTGTCGTCCTCTAGGACGCCCCTCAGGTGCCCTCCTGTGCCTGTCAAAACAGCCCCTGGTTGTCTGCGACTAGCAAGCCAGACACCCAGGTGGGGAAGTAGACAGGAAAAAAGCCCCAGCAGAGGAAGAACTCGCCCACGTTCACAGGCGAGCCCAGCGGCTCCAACACCAGTCCTTCTTGAGCTGTGGACCACATGCTGCTGCTTCGGATCGTTTCTCCATCATCTTCTAGTGGCCGCGCTTCCCTCAGTAGGCCCATCACACTCACTGTCTGGCCCTCCGTGACCATTCTGTGGGTGGATGGATGGGAGGGAGAAGGGGAGAAGGGGGTGTGGGGGAAGAAGGGAGAATGAAGTATGGGTGTTGAAAAAGGAGGGGAGGAGGAAAGGGAGGGGGGAGCGGGAGAGAGCAGAGCGGCTCCAAAACAAGCCCCTCCTGAGCAGTAATAGACCACACACTGCTGCTGCAAATCGTATGGGAGTATGGGGTGGAAAGGGAAAGAAGTAAGGGGCTCCAGCACCAGTCCCTCCTGGGCTGTCCACGACACGGTGCTGCTTCAGATCGTCTCCCCGTCGTCCTCAAGAGGTATGGCTTCCCTCCATAGCCCCATCACGCTCATTGTCTGCCCCTCCGCGACCATTCTGTGGGAAGATGGGAGGGAGAAGGGGAGAAGGGGAGAATAGGGTGTGAAGAAAGGAAATCGAAGTATGGGGGTTGAAAAGGGAAGTGGGGAGGGGCGGAGGAGAGAGCAGCACGGCTCTCCTGAGCTGTCGACCACACGCTGGTGCAAGTTGGGATGGTTCTCCAGAAACTGATGCTCCTGCTCCAGAGCAGCTTAGACTCAAACTTGAAAACACACAAACAGGTCAGACTACCTCATGCCTTAACTTACCCTCGTGAAATAACAAGATCCGATGGCTGCACGTTGGGATGCGTCTCCAGAAATTGCTGCTCCTGCTCCAGCCAGGAAGCATCCAGGAAGCCGATGATCCGCTTGCTAGACGCCAAAGGCACCACCGTCCCGTGCTGCACAAACGCTGCCAGTTTCCCTCGGTCCGCCGCCCGCCGCCCGCACACCAGGATGCTGTCCCCGTTGCTGTCGGATATGCGGAAATCGACGGCCAGGATCTGCCGCAGGTGCTCCCGGCGGCGATAGAAGGCTGTTGCTCTGCGGGCATGGTACGATTGGAGAGATGTGCTCATGATGAGGAAACCCTGGTGTAGGGGGGAGGAGGGGAGTGGGGGTGGGGGGAGAGGAGGAAGAGGGGGTGAAGAAGGGATGCGCTCCCGGTGGCGGTAGAAGGCTGTTGCTCTGCGGGCGTGGTATGACTGAAGGGATGTGCTCATGATGAGGAAACCCTGGTTGGAGAGGGGGGGGGGGGGGGGGGGGGGGGGGGTTTCGAGGGGGGGATGAGGAAAGGTAGAAGGCTGCGGCTCTGCGGGCGTGGTATGACTGAAGGGATGTGCTCATGATGAGGAAACCCTGGGGTGGGTGGGTGTGGGGGGGGGAAATAGGAGGATTAATCTCTGAAATAAGAGAAGGCTGTTGCTCCCATTCATCACACTCCCATGACACTCCCATCACACTCCCATGACACTCCCATGACACTCCCATCACACTCCCATCACACTCCCATCACACTCCCATCACACTCCCATCACACTCCCATCACACTCCCATCACACTCCCATCACACTCCCATCACACTCCCATCACGCTCCGACCATTTGAGATGCCTCACCTGATCTGATCCCCATACCAAAACCAGAGGCCTACTTGATCCCCCTCAAGAGACGAGCCTCCTGGCATGGACGCTGACGACGAAGACAGGCTCACTCGCCCTCGCAGCACCTCCACTCGCAGCACCACAATTCTTTTATCTGGAATCATTACCTTATCTCAAGCAAGAGCTCTCACCTGATCTCCATCAAGGCTCGACCCTCCCGGCATTGATGCTGACGTGGAAGGCAGGCTCACTCGCCCTCGGAGCACCACTGCTTCTGCTTTGAAAAGAACGGTTTTCCATCTCAAAGCACGAGGCCGTACCTGATCCCCCTCAAGAGAGGAGCCTCCTGGCATGGATGCGGCTGAAGATGAAGGCAAGCTGACTCGCCCTCGCAGCACCACCACTCGCCCTCCTCTCCGCTGCCCCGCTATAGAGTACCCCACTTTAGCTGCCTCCAGTATATCGCGCTTGGCGTACCGCTTGAGGAACTCTTGAGCGAGTAGGCCGGGTAAAAGTAGCGCGAGGAGTAAATTACCCGCGAAAATGACCGCCCAGGAGGTTGTGAGGAAGGCCGTGAAATTAGGCGAAGCTCCCATGAGGTGGAAAAGGTAGATAACGAGTAGAATGAATATTTGGTACAGTGCAAATGTCGCTATTGAGTAATATTTTGGGTCGGACCAAAACTGTATGCACGCTTGTTGACACCTGGTTGGGTCCCTTAACGAGTCTCCTGATGTCATCGTTAGAGGCATACGCGTTAAGCCTCTCAAGTTATCTTCGCTATCCGAGTCGCCAAAATGCGCGGCCACGGGAAGTCCCTGATGCGCGCTGCTTATGGCGAAAGCCAGCCCGGAAAACGCGGCGCTGAACACGGCGAGAGTTGCGGGGACGGACGCGCCTAAGAACGAGGTGATCTGGCCACCGACATTTGCGGGACTGAAAATATAGCCGCCTGCGCCTCCCGGGGACGAGTGGCTAGGGAAGTCGGAGTCTAATAGAGGGCTGACCGCGATCTCCGGGTCTTGAGAGGTCGCTGCGCCATGGTCGCCGTAGTATGCGGCGAGATTGTTGGAAACGTGCCTAGGTTCTTCCGTAATTTCCGGAGGGGGGATGGAGGGCGAGTGCCGAGAATGCGATTGCTGATTGAGTGGAGCGGTGGTAGGAGGATTGAGCGAACCGCCAATGCGGACCTGAATGTTGGGGTTAATACTGAGTTTTAGCTCAGTTTCGGAGTCTAAAAGGCCGTCGTCTTCGTTTCCCGCCATTTTCGGCAAAAAGGAGGCGGGATGTACACCAGAGTGCGCTCAAGGTCGGGCTAATGCTCGCAATAGCGGACCCAGAGTTTCCTTATAGCTATCTTTCTGACGAATGCCGTCGGATCTGTCTATGTCGATCGCAAGTCCAAACGGTAAAATTTCATATCACGAGGCGGTGCGGCAAGAGGTCGGCTTAGACATAGTCTGGTGTGGTTCAGGCAGAAACGGAGCCGTGAAATAGGGGGGTATATTGGCGGCAGATGTTTTCTGGTCGGCTCCCAAAGAAATCTGTGAAGCCTTCGCAAGTTTCGATGACTGGGAACAACACACAGGGATGAAACCAATGTCTCTGTTACCAACTTCGTTAACCCCTCCCAAGCTGTGACCGGCGAACAAAATCTCCACCTCCATGATTGAAAGGACGGGTGCTGCGAAAAGCAACGTTGTCGCCTAGCTCGCCAGCCCGGCAGGCTAAGTTGGTAGGTGCTGGTTGTTCAGATTACCCCCACCAAATGCAGCTACATCCATTTTATCCCTAGTATCTCTGCGAAAGAACCACTATGTAACCTCAGTCTAGTGGCTTCCTACTTGTCTCATCCGGCCATTTGGCACTCGGGCTAGCTAAAGCGATGTGCCGACTTAATTGCCATGCTTCGCTCCCTGGTCTCTCATCGCTCGATGCCGTTTGAGCGTCGTGTCAGGCCATCTCGAAGTTAAATCTGCCGGACAAGGCTCTTAGGATCATGGCAATGCTACCCTAGATTTGAGCATTTTTCCGCGTTTGCAGCGTTGGCAGACTAACCGCTTCGACAGGTTAGGGTTCGTCATTGAGGGCAAGGCTGTTGCTTTACGAGCACGTTTAGGGTTATAACTCCTGCATTTCCCCTTCAGTGCTAGGAGGCTCTGGTTCCTAATTCATAAACGAGTTAGCGTGAAAATTTCGAAGCATTTATTTCGAATTAGGGAAAACATAATTTGCGCCTTGACTCAAAGCGTCGACTGCTCGGGTGGCTGATTAAAGCCGTTGCGTGGCGTCATGGACCAGCGGTTTCAGTTGACAGAGCTTATTGGAAAAGGGTCTTTCGGAGATGTGTTCAAGGGGTAAGTCTCCGTTGCTATTGCCAGTAACATTCCTAGGATGGACCGCGCTCCTCCCCTTCGGTTTGTCATGTGAAATTCATCAATCTATGTACACTCGCATGCCTGACGGCCGTTTTCCATGTCGTGGCTTGGCGTGCCGCGCACCTCATGGCTGGAAGTTATTTTTATAATCGTGTCATGTCATGATCGATTCCTTTCATGATACTTTCGTTCTCGCGGAGTTTAGTGCAGCATTTGGCTCGCGTTGTCAGCACTTGGAATCTGAACACGTGGTGGCATGGAGCATGAAGCATGGGATACGGACGGCCATGTGCTGGCCTGTGGTGCGACCGACTATGAGCTCACCTACCGCATTATGCAGGATTTACAAGGCGACGCTAAAGCAGGAGACGGGCTATGAGATCATTGTTCAGCCTCCTCAAAATTGTCTCATCATGTGACGACATGCTGACCTACGGTGTTACCATGTGGTAACCACATTGTGCAGGATTGACAAGGAGACGGGCAAGCAGGTGGCTGTGAAGATCATTGACCTTGAAGAAGCGTATGTTCCTTCCCCTGGGTCCTGACTTGACTGACGAACTCGTGTTCCTAGTCCGCATTCGCTTATCCCATTCCCCCCTCGTCCTCGTCGTCTTCCCGTCGTCCATTTTGCTTCCTGCATTATTGCTCGTCCCAGCAGCCTGTTTAAGCTTGTCCTCCCGTTCCTGCCAACCAATTATGCTTCAAAGTTTTGGTTTCAACGGACCTCTTACCTTTCTTACGCCATGCCATGCCATGTCTTCTCTGCTGGTATGTCATGCCATGCCATGCCTTGTCTGCTGCTCTGTGATATGACATCCCCTGTGTTGCTGGGTGCAGTGAGGATGACGTGGAGGATATTCAAAAGGTTAGCATCTTATCTTACATGGCCAAGAGGGGTTCACGTGAAGTGGAAGTGATGCTTGCTGCCTATTGTTAATTACTCAATTTTTGGCGCAAACCTTTTTGAGTCTTAGCAACTTGTTGCGAATCTTCTCAGTTCCTGAATCCGTTCGAACCTGCCTCGACAATCTGCACTTGCACAATTCTCTGTGCATGCAAATTCTTCCTCTCGGTGTGCGTGTGTGCGTGTGCGTGCGTGTGTCGCTGCATGGGATGGGAGCAGGAGATAGCACTGCTGGCAGAGTGCAGAGCGCCCAACATCACCAGGTACTACGGCAGCAGTGTGCACAACACCAAGCTATGGATCGTCATGGAGTTCATGGCAGGCGGCAGTGTTGCCGATCTGGTGAGTCTCGACTTGATTCATTATTGCTCAATCCAGTAGAGTCTCGAGAGCACCCAACTTAAGAGCAGTGCACACATTACCAAGCCATGGATCGTCATGGAGTTCATGGCGGGCGGCAGCGTGGCCGATCTGGTGAGTCTCGCTTGAGAGTTCCCAAACATGTTGTTGTGTGGTGGATGCAAAAGCAGTGCAGCGCACAGAGTGCAAACGAACATTTCTTCACAGTCCATCTCTCGTTGAAGCCCCCTTATAGACCTGCTGCAGGCTCTGGAGTCCTAAGTCCCCATTGTCGTTTCCTCCCTCTCTTGATCTCTCCCTTTTTCTCTTCCCCAGCTGCAAGAGGCTCCTTTGGACGAGGCGTCCATCGCATACATTCTACACGACCTGCTGCAGGCTCTGGAGTATCTGCACTCGGAGAAGAAGATCCACCGCGACATCAAAGGTGCATGGTGGTTTTGATGTGGGAGTAATCTACGTGGGGTGCTTTATTGTGATGTCGTAATGTGAGGTGGGTGGAGTCGATTCAGCGATCTGCTGCAGGCTCTGGAGTATCTGCATTCAGAGAAGAAGATCCACCGGACATCAAAGGTGCGGTGCATGTGGGCTTCACGATGACTGAGTGCATGGTAATACTTGGTGTTTGATGTGAGGGGGGCTGTGTAGTTCCCCGTGCAGGCTCTGGAGTATCTACACTCGGAGAAGAAGATCCACCGCGACATCAAAGATGGGGTGCTAGGTGGTTATTGTTGCCTTTCCTACCCTGTCCCCATTCTCCCCGCCCAATGCTCTGCAACCCTGCCCACTGCTCTGCAACCCTGCCCACTGCTCTGTACCCCTGCTCAACCCTCTGTACCCCTGCGGCCTGCCCACTTCCCCGTAACTCTGCCCAACCCTCTGTACTGCAACACTACCCTCCGTATCCCTGTCATACCACCCTGCAGCGGCCAACATTCTGTTGAACGAGGATGGAGATGTGAAAGTGGCTGATTTCGGAGTGTCCGCCAAACTCACCAAAACCATCTCCAAGCGAAAGGTGCGTTGTGAACTGTGACATTGGAAACGATGTGACTTTCCAGTCGACTCAAATGTCGCATCTGAACTAATCATAATGGCTCGTGTATCCCCCCTATGCCTGCCACGTGTGCCCCCCCATGCCTGCCACGTGTGCCCCCTGTGCGCCTGCCACGTGTGCCCCCCCTATGCCTGCCACGTGTGCCCCCCTGTGCCTGCCACGTGTGCCCCCCCTATGCCTGCCACGTGTGCCCCCCTGTGCCTGCCACGTGTGCTTCATGAACAGACGTTCGTGGGAACGCCCTTCTGGATGGCGCCTGAGGTCATTCAGAACACCGACGGGTACGACGAGAAGGTGAGAAGTATGCGCCATTGGTTTGCTGCTTTGAGTTTGTTGCTCTTACAAGGAACGTTGGTGCATAGGGAACGCCCTTTTGGATGGCGCCAGAGGTCATTCAGAACACCGACGCGTATGACGAGAGGTGAGTGAATGAGCCGCTTGCTGCATCCCAAGCTGTGTTGAACTGAAGCCCGGAACCAATGGGTGGAGGGCTTTAAGCGTTTTTGCATTATGGCTCCACCATCTTCCTCCTCGCCTCCCCCTCCTCCCCCCGCTTATCCCCCGCTTATCCCCCAATCCCCCACCAGGCGGACATCTGGTCTTGGGCATGGCATCACAGCCATCGAATGACCAAGGGGTGTTCGAAGCGACTCTCCTTCCCTCGGTCCCCTTCCTTTATACTCTCTTCCCCCGTTCCTCCAACCCCCCTCCCCCCCCACCAGGCGGACATCTGGTCGTTGGGCATAACAGCCATCGAGATGGCCAAGGGGGAGCCGCCCTTTGCAGATCTGCACCCCATGCGCGCGCTCTTCCTCATCCCCAAGGACCCTCCACCGCAGGTGAGAGTGCACCCTGAACTCTCTGAACATTACCCAGTACCCTCCACCCCATGCGGGAGAGAGCACCCCCCACCCCAGGTGAGAGCACCCCCCACCCCAGGTGAGAGCACCCCCCACCCCAGGTGAGAGCACCCCCCACCCCAGGTGAGAGCACCCCCCACCTCAGCTGAGAGCACCCCCCACCCCAGGTGAGAGCACCCCCCTCCCAACAACCTTTTGATTCTTAACCTGATGCTGGTCCCTACCCCTTCAAGGAGTCTGACAACCTCTGTTTCAATCAAACTTCCAACCGTCTTCCCTTTCCCTTGCTTCTTTTCCTTGCCACCGACTTCCCCATCTCTCCCAGTCTCCCCTTTCCGCCCCCCTCGCACAACCCTGCCTTGTAGTACCAGTTAGACGACCACTGCTCGAAGCCCTTCAAGGAGTTTGTCAACCTTTCTTCCTTAACATCCTGTCTCCCCTTTTCCTTACCCGTCCCTCCCGTTCTCTCCTCCCCGTCCCCCCTCCATTTGTCAACTCTTTACAGTTGGACGATCATTTCTCGAAGCCTTTCAAGGAGTTTGTCAACCTCTGCCTTAACAAGACTGCCAGAGAGGTGAGGCGAGCAGGTGGGCAGGTGAGAGAGGTAGGCGGAGAGATAAGAGGAGCGAGAGATGGAAAGGAGGGGAAGAAGGTGATATCGGCTTGTTTGTTAATATTTCTTCCAGTTATTTTCTACTGCCTCCTTGACTTGGCTCCCTACGGCTCAGCCCAGCGCCTGGGAATCGCTGAAGCACCGGTTTGTCAAGGTTGCGTGCAAGACACCGAGGATCATGAACGCTTACCTGCTCCCTCTCCACATACCTGCTCTCTCTTGCAGCGCCCCAGCGCCAAGGAGTTACTGAAGCACCGGTTTGTGAAGTACGCGCGCAAGACAGCAAGGATCATCAACCCGTGCTTTTATTGTGCCTGCCCTTGTCCCCTATGCTCCCTGCAGCGCCCCAGCGCCAAGGAGTTACTGAAGCACCGGTTTGTGAAGTACGCGCGCAAGACAGCAAGGATCATCAACCCGTGCTTTTATTGTGCCTGCCCTTTGTCCCTTATGCTCCCTGCAGCGCCCCAGCGCCGAGTTACTGAAGCACCGGTTTGTGAAGTACGCGCGCAAGACAGCAAGGATCATCAACCCGTGCTTTTATTGTGCCTGCCCTTTGTCCCTTATGCTCCCTGCGGCGCCCCAGCGCCAAGGAGTTACTGAAGCATCGGTTTGTGAAGTACGCGCGCAAGACAGCAAGGATCATCAACCCGTGCTTTTATTGTGCCTGCCCTTTGTCCCTTATGCTCCCTGCAGCGCCCCAGCGCCAAGGAGTTACTGAAGCACCGGTTTGTGAAGTACGCACGCAAGACACCCAGGATCATCGACCGCGTGAGGGAGAGGGTGGAGAGTGCGGGGGATCGCATTGTATCGCCGCGCATGAAGCCAGACGACCCGGAGGACGGCCCTCCCCAATCCGCTGCCGCTGCTGCTGCGGCCGCTGTTGCTGCCGCCACTGCTGCTAGCAGTGCTCCCAGGTTAGTTGTGCTTGCCTTGGCATGGGGTATTGTTGTGGGGATGAGGGAGAGGGTGGAGAGTGCGGGGGATCGAGTGGTATCGCCGCGCATGAAGCCAGACGACCCGGAGGACGGCCCTCCCCAATCCGCCGCTGCTGCTGCGGCCGCTGTTGCTGCCGCCACTGCCGCTAGCAGCGCTCCCAGGTTGGTCTCCCGGGGGAGTACTAGCCTTCCATCCTAGCAGTTTTTCCTGTTACAGGCGCCTAGTGCTGCCACTGCTGCCAGCAACGCTCCCAGGTTAGTTGTGCTTACCTTGGCATGGAGTATTGTTGTGAGGGAGAGAGGGGGAGGGTGGAGAGTGCGGGGGAGCGCATTGTATCGCCGCGCATGAAGCCAGACGACCCGGAGGACGGCCCTCCCCAATCCGCCGCTGCTGCTGCTGCCGCCGCCGCCGCTGCCGCCGCCGCTGCTGCTAGCAGCGCGCCCAGGTTTGTCTCCAGAGGATTTGAGCAGATCATTAAAGTGCTTCCAGGGAGGTTTCTGTGTGTTGTGAGCTTTTTACTCTCAATCGACACCCAACCAACCCCAACGTTGTCTCCTCTCCCTCCCTGAACCCTCACCAGGCATTCGCGCATGGCGAGTTGGGACTTTGGCACGGCCACGGGCACCATGAAACCCACTGAGACACTGCACGTTAAGGTGCTCTGTTCACACTCACCCAACCCTAACGCGCTCTCCTCTCCTCCCACATCTCTCCCCTTCCCCCCCACAGGCACTCGCGCATGGCAAGTTGGGACTTTGGCACGGCCATGGGCACCATGAAGCCCACTGAGACGCTGTTGTTCCTGGTTCTCCTAGCAAGGGTTCTGAGTCCTCATACTGGCTTTCTGCTTGCTCTCTTCCCTCTCCTCGCCTCCCTGTCCCCACCTGGCTCTCACGCAGGCACTCGCGCATGGCAAGTTGGGATTTCGGCACAGCTACAGGCACCATGAAACCCACTGAGACGCTCAGGCGCCAGATCCGCGCCGCTGTTGCTGACCCCTATGAAGGGGGGGGAGCTGATGGCCTGGGGCGGGATGATGGGGGAGGGGGAGGTGGAGGCGGAGGCGGAGGGGGGGGGGGAGGGGATGGGTATGATGGGGGGAAGAGGAGTGGGACGGTGCGGCGCAAGCCGCGTGATTCTGGTAGTGGGACTGTAAAGAAGGGCGCGAATACAGGCACGGTTAAGGCCAGCAAGGGGAAGGGGGGGTCTTCTGGTGGATCGGGGGGAGGAGCAGGGGGAGGAGGGGGGGGAGGAGGAGGGGGAGGAGGCGGAGGGGGAGGAGGAGGGGAGGAGGGAGTGGCGAATGGGGAGAAAGGGGGGTTGTATGGGAGCGGGTGGGGGAGTGAGAGTGAGGGCTCGGGCACCGAAGAAGACGGGGTGAGTTGGGTTCGTACACTGACTTCAAGGGGGGCGTTTTGGGTTCCGGATCACTCTAAAGTGCAGTGTTTTACTGTACTCCCACTACCTTTTCGCTGAGAATTCTCACAAGTGGTTCCAATGAATCACTTAAGGTTTGCTGCTACTCCCGTCATGAATTCTCACAAGTGGATCCAATGAATCTTCTCTTTCCTTCCCTCCCGCCTCACCACCCCTTTCCCTTTGATGCACAGGAGGGCGGCAAGGGGCGCAGGAGAGGCAGCAAGCCTCCGCTGCCTGATGGCTCTCGAGCGGTACGGTTTGCATGGAATGGGGGCTTGATGGGATGGGTGATGGGATGTGGTGGCATGGATGGCATGGAGCAAGGGCTTGATGGCATGGGTGATGGGATGTGGTGGTATGGTGGCATGGGTGGAATACTGAGGGGCGTGCCTAGGGTCGCAGGAGAGGCAGCAAGCCGCCCCTGCCTGATGGCTCTTAAGTGGTATGATGGGTGGATGGTGGTTTGGGTGACATGGTAGCATGCATGGATGTATGGTAGTGTGGGTGGGTTCGTGGGGTGGATAGAGTTGTATGGGTTGGTTGGAGGGGTGTAGGATGTTATAGGACGGTTGGCATGGGGGTGGCAGGGTAGGGTGAAGCCTGGGAATGTGGCTTTCTTGTTAGCTCTTCCGTATCCGCTTATGTCTTTCTCCCCATAAGTCGTGAGTCCTTGATCCTGACTTTGTGGGAGGTTGGTTGGGAAGGAGGAGGTCTTGAGGTGACTTTTGAGTGGATTCTGATTCACCTCCGCACTTGCTTTTCTGCGCTCTTTTGTTTTTTTCTTTTGTTCTTTTGGGTTTTTCCTCCCTTTGTCGCTTTCGGCCGTTGTGGGTCCTTCCTTCCCTCAGTCCGACTCTGGAAAGGGTGGGCGCAAGGAGGATTCGGCAACGAACTAACATAGCAGAGGCACTCACGGCCATGAATTGGGTGAAGAACCATGCTGCGTTGACTCATGTGCTCCTTCTGCGCCCTCTCCCCGCTGTCCCTTCTTTGTGTTCCTCCTTCCGCATTCCGTTCCTCAGTCTGAGGAGGGTGGGCGCAAGGAGGACTCGGCAACCAACATGGCAGAGGCACTCAAGGCGATGAAGGGAGGGAAGAAGGGCGGGGGAGGGCGGGCGAGCAGAGCGGGCGGGGGAGGAGGGGGAGGGGGGGATGCCATGGACAGTGGCACAGTTCGAACGAGGTACGTGCTGTGAGATGATGTGCATTGTATGCTGTGAGATGACATAGGATGATGTGCGATGTCTTCTGTGAGAGGATATGGGATTGCATATCCCGCACTTCTCTCCCTCTCCCTCTCCCTCTCCCTCTCCCTCTCCCTCTCCTTCATTCTCTCCCTCTCCCTTCCCCCTTTCTCCTCCTTTGGAATCCCAGAAAACCCAAGGCAGGTGGGCGGAAGGGCGGAGGAGGAGGTGGAGGGGAGGAGCAGGGAGGAGCACGAGTGGCTGGCAGGGATGCTGCTGTGTCGTCCTCGCCTCTACTGTCTCTCGTGCTCATGCCGGCATTCAAAGAGGTGCGTGTGTTTTGTTTTTATTCTGGCGACTCAAAAGAGAGTGGCCGGCTGGGATGCTGCTGTCTCGTCTTCTCCTCTGCTCTCCCTGGTGTTCATGCCTGCCTTCAAAGAGGCACATCTGTTGTTGTTTTGGTCGATATAATGGAAAGTGGCGGGCAGCAGCAGATGCATCTGGTTTCCCTTTTCCACCCTCTCTTCTGATCCAAGATTCCCTCCTGCTCTCTTCGTCACAACAGGTGGCAGCGGATCAGCAGGAGCAGGCAGCGGTGCGGGCAGCAGCAGATGCAGCAGACGCGCTGGTGGAGATGGAACGATGCGCTCCGGGTTCCTGCCAGCTGCTGCTCGCCAGCCTGCTCGGCAAGCTCGGCAGGTGATTACCTCTTCAATTCCCCCGTCCTTCGTTCACTTGTTGGAGTGGAAGTGTAGAGATTTGCACTGGTGGAAACATAGAGGTGCGCCTGGGCTCCTGCCAGCTGCTGCTCGCTAGCCTGCTCGGCAAGCTCGGCAGGTGATTACCTCTTCAATTCCCCCGTCCTTCGTTCACTTGTTGGAGTGGAAGTGTAGAGATTTGCACTGGTGGAAACATAGAGGTGCGCCTGGGCTCCTGCCAGCTGCTGCTCGCTAGCCTGCTCGGCAAGCTCGGCAGGTGATTACCTCTTCAACTCCCCCGTCCTTGTTCACTTGTTGGAGTGGAAGTGTAGAGATTTGCACTGGTGGAAACATAGAGGTGCGCCTGGGCTCCTGCCAGCTGCTGCTCGCTAGCCTGCTCGGCAAGCTCGGCAGGTGATTACCTCTTCAATTCCCCCGTCCTTCGTTCACTTGTTGGAGTGGAAGTGTAGAGATTTGCACTGGTGGAAACATAGAGGTGCGCCTGGGCTCCTGCCAGCTGCTGCTCGCTAGCCTGCTCGGCAAGCTCGGCAGGTGATTACCTCTTCAATTCCCCCGTCCTTCGTTCACTTGTTGGAGTGGAAGTGTAGAGATTTGCACTGGTGGAAACATAGAGGTGCGCCTGGGCTCCTGCCAGCTGCTGCTCGCTAGCCTGCTCGGCAAGCTCGGCAGGTGATTACCTCTTCAATTCCCCCGTCCTTCGTTCACTTGTTGGAGTGGAAGTGTAGAGATTTGCACTGGTGGAAACATAGAGGTGCGCCTGGGCTCCTGCCAGCTGCTGCTCGCTAGCCTGCTCGGCAAGCTCGGCAGGTGATTACCTCTTCAATTCCCCCGTCCTTCGTTCACTTGTTGGAGTGGAAGTGTAGAGATTTGCACTGGTGGAAACATAGAGGTGCGCCTGGGCTCCTGCCAGCTGCTGCTCGCTAGCCTGCTCGGCAAGCTCGGCAGGTGATTACCTCTTCAATTCCCCCGTCCTTCGTTCACTTGTTGGAGTGGAAGTGTAGAGATTTGCACTGGTGGAAACATAGAGGTGCGCCTGGGCTCCTGCCAGCTGCTGCTCGCTAGCCTGCTCGGCAAGCTCGGCAGGTGATTACCTCTTCAACTCCCCCGTCCTTGTTCACTTGTTGGAGTGGAAGTGTAGAGATTTGCACTGGTGGAAACATAGAGGTGCGCCTGGGCTCCTGCCAGCTGCTGCTCGCTAGCCTGCTCGGCAAGCTCGGCAGGTGATTACCTCTTCAATTCCCCCGTCCTTCGTTCACTTGTTGGAGTGGAAGTGTAGAGATTTGCACTGGTGGAAACATAGAGGTGCGCCTGGGCTCCTGCCAGCTGCTGCTCGCTAGCCTGCTCGGCAAGCTCGGCAGGTGATTACCTCTTCAATTCCCCCGTCCTTCGTTCACTTGTTGGAGTGGAAGTGTAGAGATTTGCACTGGTGGAAACATAGAGGTGCGCCTGGGCTCCTGCCAGCTGCTGCTCGCTAGCCTGCTCGGCAAGCTCGGCAGGTGATTACCTCTTCAATTCCCCCGTCCTTCGTTCACTTGTTGGAGTGGAAGTGTAGAGATTTGCACTGGTGGAAACATAGAGGTTCGCCTGGGCTCCTGCCAGCTGCTGCTCGCTAGCCTGCTCGGCAAGCTCGGCAGGTGATTACCTCTTCAATTCCCCCGTCCTTCGTTCACTTGTTGGAGTGGAAGTGTAGAGATTTGCACTGGTGGAAACATAGAGGTGCGCCTGGGCTCCTGCCAGCTGCTGCTCGCTAGCCTGCTCGGCAAACTCGGCAGGTGATCCCTCCATTTGCCCACCCTCTCTCATTCCTTCAAGTTATGTGCACTGAGATTCTGCCTGAAGGCCAACGGTGGCAGACAGTTAGGGTTGAAGCAGGGAGTTCCCAACTGCATGCACATTCCCTTCCCCCTCCCCCATCTCCCCACTCACAGTGCATCAGAGGAGGTTCCCCCCTCTGCGTGCGTGACCTGAAGGCCAATGCTCGCACGCAGGCAGTTTTGGTCGGGTAACCAACCTCTGGCATTCCCCCCTTTTCGCACTCCCACTCTCACAGTGCATCAGAGGAGGTTCCTCCCCTGCGTGACCTGAAAGCCAACGCGCGCAGGCAGTTTGGGCCACCAGGGGGCGAGGGAGGGGCGGATGGGCGAGCGGACAGGCGGCATGGGAAGGGGGGAGACGTGGACGTCACAAACTTCCAGCATTTCCTCTTTCCCCCACTCCTCTTGCAGTGCATCAGAGGAGGTCCCTCCTCTCCGAGACCTGAAGGCCAATGCGCGCAGGCAGTTTGGGGGAGCAGGGGGCGAGGGAGGGGCGGATGGGCGAGCAGACAGGCGGCATGGGAAGGGGGGAGACGATGATGTCAACAACCTCAGTCCCCTTGGAAGTTTCCTCCTCCGCAGGTGAGGGATAATTATATTTATGCCTTGAGAGTTGACCCAGGGGGCGAGGGAGGGGCGGATGGGCGAGCAGACAGGCGGCATGGGAAGGGGGGAGATGATGATGTCAACAACCTCAGTCCCCTTGGAAGTTTCCTCCTCCGCAGGTAATTTTCTTTGGCGCCTTAACAGTTGACCCAGGGGGCGAGGTGTAGGCAACTTCCGAATGTATGCTCAGCAATGGGTTGTAAAGATTGTGCACACCCTATTCTCTTGGTAGTATTGCTAACAGTGATGTCTCCGAAACCTTCCCATCGGGCACGTTCTCCTGTGCAGGTGAGCTGAACCTCCTTTCTACCTCTTGTTCTTTTTTTGTTTTTCCTTCGCAATATTAGAGGCATCTCAGAACCCATGTCTTTTTCAGGCAGGGCAGGAATCCACCTTGATCTCCTTCTCCTCCGTTCAACCCCCACCTCTCTCCCTGCACCTACGCAGATGGAAGGGAAACTCGCTGCTGGAGTCAGGATGACCTTACAGCCCAGCGCTGCTGCTGGCTAGTACTACTGTAATATGCTGAGTTGGCAGGGTGGGATGTCTCAAACCAGCGTTGTGACGTCTTGCTCTATGGCTGATGTGCTACATAATGCGATGTGATGTGAATGACGATGCTGGGTTGGATGGGTCTGTTATAATGCAAGGATGGGACGTCTCGACCTAGTTTTGAGGCCAAGCTGCAGAGGTGTGAGTTGATCTTCGGGTGCTGCTGAAAAGGAGGGACATATCTGGAATAAGTAGTTTCAGGGACATAAAAATGCTCAACTCAAGCTGGGAAGAAGGGAACTTGAACAAAAACTGCACTCATTCTGTGGATATGTGCCCATTTACCGTATATGAGATGAAGTGGTAATATGAGCCACTACTTGATCATATGCATGGACCCTCTCTCTTGCCCTTATCATATAATGAACCATTCCTCTACACTCTGCTCTGTTCAAACTACATATCCTGTCACATTCCATTAAGAGTAGATTTCTGGGATACTAGTAAACTAAACCCTGTACTTGTGATTTCCAGGTATTTGAGGAATTAGCTCCCATTTATGGGAGAATCAATGGGTGCTATCCCAAACCTCTTTTCAAATAGCTTGTCCGAGCACTGGATGAATTGAATCAAACACACCTTCCGTGCCTGCTGCAACGCCGCTTCCGCCAATCCTTGTTGACCTGTGACTCTTGTCCCAAGCTTGTTGCTGCCTGGGGTATACTCCAGGCCACTAGAACCTCCAACCTCTTTACCGCATTCCACCTCTTTTCCTTGTTCCACCCATTCACATCCTTCCACCCCGTTACCCCTTTCCACCTCTTTCAACCCATCTCCCAACCCTGCACCAGTGTCCTTCACATTCTCCCTCCTACGTCCACCTCTCCATTCAAGGGCCATCACTCTATATGGCACCAACCCATAGCCCATGCTCAGCAGTGCCACATGTCGCGGTCTGATTCGCCGATCCAAACTGTAATTCAGAAAATTAGGGAACGCAAGCACCTCCATTATAGACAGCCCCATGTCCCGTTTTAAGTACTCCACCTTGTGCCTCGTATTCATCTCCCAACTGTAGTAGATCGATGCTGGGTGCTTAAGCACCAGACGCGCCACTAGATCACGGGCTGTGGCGCAAGATCTGTTCTCAGCCATTCGATCATAGGCTGTGGCACCAGCCCTGCTCTCAGCCATTGGATCACGGGCTGTGGTGCCAGCGCTGCCATCAGAACCGCCTCCTTCTCCTGCCCTTGCTTCCGCCCAGCTCTTGGATCCGGCTCTGAAGCCAGCGCCGCTCCCGCCTTGCGTCGGACCGCCGCTTGCATTCTTTTGAGGTGACTCCAAGGGAAGATTTTCTCTTGCGTTTTCATCTTCTTCACCGATTTCCAAGACCCCTTCACCACTCTCCAACGTCCCTTCACCACTCTCCAACGTCTCTTCACCACTCCGCAATGCCCCTTCACCACTCTCCAATGCCTCTTCACCACTCTCCAATGCCTCTTCCACTTCTCGCACAAGTTCTCCAAAACTCCTCTTGAAATTTGTTTCGCTTGAACACAGCAGCAAAGGAAACCGCGCCACTGCACACACTGCGTTCTCTTGCCCAATCAGATTGCTCAGAAATGCCACCTTGCCTTGCAGGTTCTCTAAAGATCGATCAAGAATCATCGGATGGCTTCGCACCGCACTCCCTGCTGCCTTCTCCCCCACCAGATCCACTAAGAACTGAAACTTAGCTAAGAGATTATCCGAGCTGAGGTTGACGACGGTGGGGGCAAGGCGGAGAATCGAGCTTGCTATGGGTGGGGTGCCAGGGGGGGTTAGAGACTGGAGGAGGCTGAGTTTAGTGGCGATGATCTTTGGGGAGGAAAGGAGGAGCTGCGGATTCTTCAAAAGGAGTTTACTCAGGTGATTCTTGTCCTTATGTCGCCTCGTCAGGTGTTGCTTCAGGTGCCCAGTGCGGACGTTTTTTTCTTCGTATCCATCAGTCAGGTACGCTGATAGTTGCTCAAGGCGAGTTCGTATGGTTTCTTCCTTGCTGCAAAGGATTCTTGGGACCCCCTGCTCTTAGTAGCTTGTCCACAGGAACCCCTGCTCTTTCCACCAAAATGTCCAGGTTCGTTGAACGAGCCTGCATTCTGACGAGGAATGATGAAGCATTACGGAGCACCGAACCTAGCTTGGTACGGCGGACGCCCCGAGCCAAGAGAAAGTCAAGCTTCTCCTGAATCTGTGGAAGCGGGGATCGGAACCAGCATGCATTTCTCATGGTGATGACTGAGATGTCGGCGCGGGATAGGCCATACGACTGGAGAAGCTGAACACGTGGCAGCAAGTCATTGGTGGGGTCAGACCGAAGGAGCGCAGGGCGATTGGTGAGGAGGGAAGCAACAGTGGAAGGAGAGGAGATGCCGAGGTGGGAGGAGAAGAAGCGGTAGAGGGAGAGGAGGGAGGGGAGAGTGGTAGCACGTGCCTTTCTTGAACGAGAGGTGGTTCCAGGAAAGTTCTCCTGCACTTCTGCTTCGTCCCCTTCTTCCCGAATTTCTAATTCCACTTGCTCCACATCCCCTTCCGCTTCTTCTGCTCCCTTCCCTTCCTCCTCATCTGTGATTCTTCCGTCTGTAGACCCCGCCGCCGCCTCCTCCTCCTCCTCTCTCACGATCTGAGGCCCGAATTTCTCTCTCAGCACTTCAGCAATCAACGCCACTGCCTCCTCCTCCTCTCTGGTGGCGCAACCTCCCCTCCCTCCTCCATTCTCTCCTCCCCCCCTCCCTCCTCCTTCATCATTTACCTCCGCCTTCCCCGCTCTTCCCTCACGTCTCATACACCTTCCTCCGCCAACCACCTCCTTCTCGCTCTCTCCTGACTCTCTCTTCTCTCCTTCACTCTCCTCTCTTCCCTCGGTACGCAACCGAGCCTCCGTCCCAACCGCCAGTACTGGTTCGCCATCGAAGCTCGGATCAAATCGCACGTTCACACCCTCCGTCTCTGGAGCCGCGGCTGGTCTGGTCAGGAATCTAACGGGACATCTTATAGAGAGGCACCGATCAGGGGTTCGATTTTTAACGGTTTCTCTTTGCGCAGGTTGGTGTGGGCTTAATCCGAACTGGTAGAGGCTTCGCGAGGAAGGTATAGAAGGTGTTGATGTGATTCTAGGCTTCGCTGGAAAAGGCTCAGACCGAGGCGTAGAAGGCTGCGTCATGTATCTTAATGTGAATCTTAGTCTGTAGATCCACGCGATGGATGGCCGTGGCGATGTGCGAATCGCCATGGCGGAAAGGTGAAGGGTATGCGGAAAGGGACGAAAAATGCACGAACGCGTCACAGGTTACGAGAGGTTCCTAGCACGCCAAGCAGGCGAGAGTTTGTTGTGGTGCACATAAATGACTCCTTTTAACTGCTTGCATGCAGTCGTGTCGCTTTGCAGAAGCAGAATCTAGAGGAAACGGAAGCAGGCAAATTACAGGGAGCACAGATGGAAGAGGAAATCAGCGGATCAAAATCTCCCTGGAGTTGATGAGCCCAACAGATACTTTTCTGCTCCCCAACCCTGGCACTGGGAGTACCGACCTAGCACACTCTCGTTGCCTCACAAACAAGATGCCGTATCAGGTGGAATTTGTGATTTCGCTTCTGGTTGTTACCGTGCGAAAGGTTCACGTTAGGCACCATCATCGGTGGAAGTGTCGTTTCGAATTTCTACGCGGTATAACGAAATTGTCAGACCACACCATATTGAGACTTCATTCATAACATCACACAATACGAATCATTCCAATCACCGTGACGACAGCCATTAAGATATTATAATACCAGCTTAATTTTGAAGTAAATTGAACATTGGTGGTTGCGACTGCACCATTAGAGATTGAATTTCCCCAGCACATATGCATTTCCAATATCCCCTACGAAGTACACTCTTCATGATACAGTGCGCGAACGGGTCCTGTAAAATAGCGAGTACGGACATCTGAGGGATGTCCTCCTCCCTGGTTCTCGATTATCTCGTTTTTGTTTGGTTCTTTGCGGTCCATAGCGGTAAAAATACATCTTTTGTTACCGTGTAGAAACACACTGAACCGCTACCGGCTGATGGAGAAATTGGCGGGACGGGCCCCACGATTTCAGAAATGTCAGACTTCCCGCCAAATTCAGAACCTTGGGACTGTTCCTCCAATCACAGGAGTCTCGTCCAATCAATCCTCTGTCATTGTTGCGTTGGTCTCTCCGCTGAAAGCTAGCGAACACGAACGTGCAACAGCAAACGCAGCATCCTCTCCTCTCCGTCCTTATTTGACCTGTTTTTCACCGCTTACCTTTCTAGTTTCCAGTAGTTGGCTTCGTTGCCGTAGGTTGTTTACATCCTTTTCAAGTATAGTGCTACATAACCTTTTCAGGATATTCCTCCAGTTGCAACGTGTCACTTTATGATCTGTCGTCGTATTCTCGATATTGTCGCACCGCACACAGGCTACCGTCGCCAGCCTGATCGCTAGACCTCTCGCAGAAGTTCGATGAAATCGCCAACGCACCTTAGCGTCAGTAACAAGGTTACGAGAATTTCGCTTTCCCAGTAGTAAAGTAAGCCAATACTTTTGGCCTGTTGGACTGTCGCTGAAACAGGAGCCTGCCTGAAGCGCTCGAGAAAGCGAGGGAGCTGAAAATCTTGCCTCGAGAAAACGATTCGCAGAGATGACGCCACCTGGTGAACGGATAAGTCGAAGCGATGAGGATAGCCTTCTCGGAAATTCGGCAGCCAGAAAGGAAACGGGTGTGTACTCTTCAGGTAAAATTGTCGCCGGTTCGAATCTCGACAGGATGTTACCTTGCACAGGCACAAACAGGATCTCTATATCTTCCACTGGTGACGATGATCGCACGGCCGGCGTTAGCAAAATGGGTAACCTCGTTGCGCGTGGGAACTCTGGCCAGACCAGACTACAGACTAACCAGCCTACCACTAGGAGCAAAAAAGTAGGAAACTCTTTG